AGTAAATGGTGACTCAACGTCCATTCCCTCAGGCTGGTAACAACCAATCACCCTTAATGCCCTCAGCCCCTAATACCCACACCTACTCTCAAAACCCACAGAATATCTGACCTCTTTGCCTCCCTCCACCTGTCCTCCCCAGGCCACACTTCCGAGCTTGCAGCTGCCTCCTCCCTGCTCTTTGTTTTTGACCTCCTCCTGCTCCTCACCCCATCAGCTGTCAACTGCAACCTACTAAATCCCCCAAAACTTAATGGCTTGAAACAGCAACTATTTCATTGCACATGATTCTGGGGAGCAGAAATTTGGGCAGGACAGGTCAGATGTTTTTTCGAATGAGGAGGAAATGGAGTCATCATGCCAGGCACATGGTGAGACCTCTGGACTGACCGCCCTTCGTAGGTCTCCTGGGACCTGGAAGTTCCCTCCCCCCACCCAGCATGTCCCATTGGCTGGCTGCATTCCTGCAGCCACCCTGCCGCCGCCTCGTGGACACAGGATTACATGCACCTCCCAGGACTCTGACAGCCCTGGCAGAGGTGGGTCTTGGCAAGGAGCTGGAGCCCGACTCCCAAGGTGCGTGAGGCTCCCGCAAGTGTTTCTGTCACCCTGGCAGTGGGGGAGAGCACATAAAGGGGGGAAAGAAAGCCTGTGGCTCAAAGGAGTAGGGAGGTGGCGAGTTCAACCCAGCCCCAGCCAAAAACTGCAAAAAAAAAAGGGGGTGGGGTGGGGGGAAGGAAGAAGATGCACTGGTGTCTCACTAAGGGCTTCCTTCCCCTGGCAATCCCCTGAATTCACAGGGTGGAGCCCCCCAGGCCCTGACTGGATCACAGCAGCAGCCTCCTTCCTGACTGGCCTTACCATCTACACTCACAGCCAGAGGGCCTTCTAGAAGGTCATTCTGAAGGCCTCACTCCCACTCCCTGAATAAAGCCCAATCCTTGCAAGGCCACACCCACATTGCCCTCTCTGTCCTCTCATAAGCCCTGGACTGTACCCCATTCATGCTATCCTCTTCCTGCAGCCCTGTGCCTCGAGACAGGCCTGAACCCTGGCAGTGCCCCTCACTTGAGGTCTGGAAGCCTCAGGTGAGGGAAGTTACCTTACTCCAGCAGGTATTGAGGTAACAGGAGGCTTCAGCTCCCTGACAGAGGGTGCTTCTGCAACCCTTGCCCAGCTGGCAGAGAAGGAAGCTGTCCTGAGTGAGTCTGGGGGATCCTCCACAGATTCCAGGAGGAAGGAGTAAGCATGGGCAGAAAGGGCTGAGGGGCAGGGACAGCTCTGGGAGGGAGCCACTGGAGGCAAAGGGCAGGGACAGGGATGGTGCCCATTGCCACCTTGATGCTGAGACTGGAGGAAACAGGTGTGAGGCAGGGCCCATGGGGACACTTCTGTGAGAAGCAGGAAGAGACATCTTCTTGGTCATGTGGCGCCCTCGAGGAGTTAGAGATGGGGACTGGATCCTGGGATGGTGCTGGTATAGCTGCTCAGCTACGAGGCCTGGGGGAGCAGACTCTGAGTGCCCAGCCTGCCCTGCCAGTTGCCTAGAGGGTCCTTGAGGAACTTCGTGCCCCTCCCCATGACCCACACCCACCCACACATGTTCGCCCACATATAGCCCCCCATTCACACATCACCTAGATTGCACAAATGCACCCTCACACATGTCACATGCACACAGCTTGCAAGTCATGCCCTTAGTTTTTAGAACCCCAAATGAGGGCCTGGCACTCTGACCACCAAAGGGTCACCTTCCTGACCTGTGAGTGCATTTTTCCAAAGACAAAGAGGCATAGTGGTATAAACAGAAATCAGTTGTGTTTCGGCAACTAAGATGCTATCTTTACTTTCAAAGACTACATCTGCGTGAACCGTACCATTCACACGGGAGTGCTGTGTGTTCCAGCGTGGGAGCATGTGCCACCCCAGAAGGTGGCAGTGGGGCTCTCCACCAGGTGGGCCTGCTCCCAAGAGACCCCAGCTGGCATCCTGGCAAGGATCAGGGCAACACTCGCACTATGTGAAGGGGCAGGCTCCACAGAGGACCTGACTGGTTTGGGCATGGCAGTCTGGGGACAGACCAAGCAAAAACAGGAAAATCTGGAGCCCAGGAGGTGAGTAGCAGAGCACAGGAATGAGGCTAAGGGTGAGCCAGGTGAAGCCACACCTTGGCCAGCTCCACCGCATGGAGGAGACTGCAGGGAGTCATGCCCATTTGTGACAGATCTTTCTAGAAGGTGGGATGCCAGAGGATCCAGCTCAGTTTAGGCTCAGAGTCTGCATTCAGTGTATGCCTAAAGCATGAATGAGAGGGGACAGGGGTCAGAGTGTCACCAGGACCAGGGCTCAGTGAGTGGCCAGGGTATGAATCAGTGTGTGACCACAATCAGGGCTTGTTTGGTGATCGGGGTCAAAGTCCAGACTGACCATAGTGAGTGCTCAGTTTGGGGCTGAGGTCAGAGCTCAACCTGGGTTTGGGGGAGGTCACAGCCATGGTTTTCAGCATTTGAGCTGTGGCCATCAGGTCATCCTCAAGTGAGTCTCACACCTCAGCACAACTGACAGTTGAGGCTGATGTAGGGTGACCAGATTTTAACATTTGTTAAGCAGGACAACATGGCCAGGGCGGGGCAGGATGGTGGCGGGGCAGGGGATGGGGCAGGGCTGGGCCTGACAACAATGCAAACTTTGATAAGCAGTTCTCAATAATCACTTCTCAACAATTATTTGTTATTATTACAGTTTAACATTATAAAATTAACAAAAATAACATAAAACTCATATTCTGGTGAAATAGCCACATGGCAGCTGAAAACCATATATTCCCTTCCTGTTCTCCCGCCCGTTGGTGCATTCTTTCCATAAATTGGGACTTTTTTAAAACGTCATGGGACACAGGACAAATTGTTAAAAAGTGGGACATCTGGTCACCCTAGGCTGATGGCTCTGGTGGTGTCCCAAACACTTTAGGATGTTGACTGACCCTTGGCCTGACCTCCTGGAGGCTAGCAGCACCCCTGAGCTAGAACAAGAAAAAACATCTCCAGGCTTTGTCAAACCGCCTGTTTGAGAGCCACAACTTTAGAGCAATCACTTTATATCAAATCAGATCAACAAACATTTACACACCTATAAATATTTGAGGAATGAAAGTTCCATGCTGGTGCTGGGTACCAGGTGCCTTGACTACAGAGACAGATAAGAAAGCCTTCTATTCAGGGAGCTGGGACTGGGGGGGGGGGAGGATGGGCAGTGAGGTCCCACGCATTTTAATTATTATGACAGACACCTGAGTTTAGAGAACTGTAGGTGCAGGGGTTTTCAGAGAGAAAGTTCTATGTGGGCAGAGCAGAGAGGACAGCGTCCTAGGGAGGAGGCCACACTCAGACATTCCTGTCCCAGTCTGGGCAGGCCCTTCACCTGCCAAAGGCGGGACAATATTCTCAGGAAAGAACCCAAAGCAATGAGGGCAGGCAGTGCACAGGGGAGACCCCTAAGGGTCTAGGGCTGGCCTAAGGCCAGTGGGGAACCCAATATCTCTGACTCCCATCAGCTGTGTCATCCTGGTCCAGGATCAGGGTGAAAAGGCCAGAAGCACCTGATGCTCAGCTTTCCTGCAGGGTGCAGGTGTGCAAGGAGATAGGCTGGTCTCCGCATGCCCTTTCCTGTAGCAGCCTCACTGCCCCCCAGCATGCCCTGGACACTCCTCAGGGGGAGAATCTGAAGAAGATGTAATAATGAAGGGCCAACAAGCCTTAAGCAATGATGGCAGAGTGCCAGGGGTGGGGGAGGGGTATCCTGAGGGTGGGGCCTGCCCCCTCCAGGCCTCTCCAGACATGTATTCAAAAGACAGGCAGTGGCCATGGCCAACACATAGCCACCAGCATCCACCAAACAACATGCCCAAAGGAGCCAACAGGGAGAGTCTATGAAGAGGACGGTGGATGAAGGCAGGGTGAGGCTTCAGGAGATGACAGGGACCACAAGTCACCCCAAAACTGATAGCAGCAGGAAACCACTGCCCCCTGGGCTTGGAGGGATAAGGGGAAAGCACAGTTACCAAGCCTGGCCAGGCCCATGGGGCAGGAGAAGTCTGACCAGCAGGGTCTGGGGCTCCTATAGAGAGCTGCAGCTACTGCCACCACTGCCCAGTGATCAGGACGCTGGCAGGAGAGCTGGCCTGATCTGTGTCCCTTCCTGCCCTCCAGTCTCCTGGCACTGAAGCCCTGCCAGCCTCCCAGAACACCAAGCAAGGGGACAGTGGGTCTGGGCCAACAGGGAGTGTGCTGTGACTCCCCGCCTCCCAGGACACAGAGCAGGGGGAGAGTGGGTCTGGGCCAATAGGGAGTGTGCTGTGACTCCCACCATTGCAGGGGGACAGGGGGTCTGGGCCAACAGGGAGTGTGCTGTGACTCCCACCATTGCAGGAGCATCCCCAAGTGGCATTTCCATGATTCTCTTGCAGTTAAAATTCCACATGGTAGAGATCAAATGAGGCTAAAGCACTTAGGGGCCCAGCGCACACTCAATGCTCCGTAAATATGAGCCTGTGTAGCTGGGTTCCACCCCAGGAAAGGTGGCCCCCTAAACAGCCTCTGTCCTGAACACGGCCCTAGCTGCCTATCACTTGCTGCTGATGTGTCTGTGCTTCTTCGATCAAGGCCTGTCACCTGAGGACCGTAAGCCCAACGAGGGCAGTGCAGCTTCTGCCCAAGCAGAAGGACAAGGTGCTGGAAGGCTGGAGAGTGAATGAGTCTGAGGACGCGTCCTCCTCATCTAGGCTGCTCTGTGAGGTGGGGGAGCTATAGTCTGGGGCCTGAGGACCTTCCAACCTGTCCTGGGGGTGGCTAGAAAACAGCCTTGGCAGGCTCTGCCCTCTGGGGCAGAAAGAAGGACAAAGGGAGGGGAGGTGCTGGCTGGACCGAGATTGGAATCTGCCCAGCCCTGGGCCCTCACTGGCTCCAGGGAACCTATTGGTGTTGGCCGGGGCAGTGTGGCCTCCCCCACCCACTAGAGCCATATAAAGCTGCCGGAGCCCTCTCCGCCACTGCCCACCTACGACCATGAAGGCCATCCTCTTTGCCCTGCTGGCCATTGGCCTGGCCCTGCAGCCAGGTGAGGCTTTGACCAGCCCCCGGCAGGCGAGGTGGGAAAAGCGGGAGTGAAGGGGTCAGACGAAGGAAGGGAGGCTGAGGGCCTACAAGGGCAACTCTTGGCATAACCAAGATGCAGCCTCAAGCCAAGAGCTCCCCCTCATGCCTAGAGCTATTCTCCCTGCCATCCTGTGAAAGGCTGGCTCCAGGAGGGGCAGAGGATGGACAGATGGCTGGATAGAGGGAGGCAGAGATACTGACCAACAGTGGGAGGCATGGGGCAAAAAGCCTGCCACTAAGAAGTGTGCTGGAGGAAAGGGGCAGAATGGGGCGCAGGAGGGGTACTAGGGCATCCCATGAGAGGGTCTGGCTTGTGTGGCTCTGTTCTGGCAGGGTCCCTACAGGCTGAGGGTCCTAGGTAAGTCACTAAACCTCTCAGAGCCTCAGCTTCCTCTTCTGGAAAGTAGGATCACAAAACAGCCCCCCAAGGCCAATGGGAGACTGAAATGGGCAAACCTTGTGAGGTACTGAGGATGGGGGTGGCTGGACCCCAGCTTTACTGTTGTTGTAAAAGGAAGACACTTAATGGTCAGGGCAAACTGGCAGCTGGCCAACCCCCAATGCAGGGCTGGATACAACTCAGCACCCAAAAAGCACACTGGAGGCCTGGACAGGCTGTTGGGGGACAAGGACAGGTGGGCCTCAATGCCTGGTGGCCTGGGGAGGTCAAGGAAGGGTGTTGTCCAAGTTTTGTCAGCTCCACCTCCCCAGTGTCCAGCTGAGTCTAGTCTGTCCCTGCCGGGACTGCCCTCACAGCAGCATGGGCATTTCAACAAAGCTCCAAGACAGCCAAGTGTCAGGGAAGCGCTCCAGGTGCACCTGGAGAATCAGGGCCTTCCCATGGGGCACCCAGCTCTCTTCTCGCCTGTGCCCGCACCCCTCACAGGCCATGCTCTGCAGTGCTACTCCTGCAAGGCCCAGGTGAAAAACAGCAACTGCCTGAACGTGCAGAACTGCAGCCAGGCAGAGACCCAGTGCCGGACCGAGCGCATCCGTGAGTGGCCCTGCCGTCCCTGCACCAGCTCTTCCCTCCATGGGCACTGAAGGGCCTGGGTTTGGGTCTCTGCCCCTGAGTTTGTCATCCTTCTGGCCATGTGCCCATGCATAAGTGCTCAGCTTTCCAGCTGTCATCTGCCCACCTCACCCCTACTCTCTCCCTGAACATTTCAGTACCCAGCGGGGCTCAGCTTCCCTGGCCTATGGGTGCAGACAAGCCCGATCCCCATGCTGGGCTCCAATTGCAGGGGGCTAGAGAGGCCAGGTGCACAGCCAGTTGGTGAGTGCCAGGTGGCCTCAGCCCTAGGTCCTCATGTCCCCCCAGGTGCCGCTGGCTTCCTGACCATCATCAGCAAGGGCTGCAGCTCCGACTGTGTGGATGAAGCTCAGGACTACTACGTGGGGAAGAAGAACATCACGTGCTGCTCCACAGACCTGTGCAATGCCAACAGGGCCCATGCCCTGCAGCCCGTCTCCGCCACCCTGGCACTTCTCACTGCACTGGGCAGCCTGCTGTGCTGGGTCCCAGGCCAGCTATAGGCTCCAGCAGTGCCCTGCCACAGTCCCCACACCATCTGCCCAGCTAGGGTGGCCCTGGTCTGTGAGAGCGTGTCCTAACACCATCTTGGCTGTGCCCCTTTGCCCGTTGGCCCTCCTGTGGTTCCTTCCTGGACTCCTGCCTACCCACTGCATAAGCTGGGCTCTGGTGACACAGACCAGGCTCCAGACGCTCCCTCCAGCCCCCAGGCCCAACCTCCCCATCCTTAACCCTCTGCTCAGGTACCTCTTCCTCCAGGAAAACTTACTTGCCCACTTGCCTCTCCATGAGCTGAGCCAAGTCTGGTCTGTAGTGTCCCTGCACCAGCAGGGACAGGCATTCAGGAGGCCCAGCAGAGACCAAGATGAACTGGGCTGAGTAGAACTGGGGTATATGGGAGTGGTGTGAGGTTCTGGAAGCCTCGAGATGGAGCCTGGAGGCCTTGAGGGAGGGACCAGACCCCTATATCCATGTCAGTCCGTGAGCAGAAGTGCTGGCACACAGTAGGCACTTAATAAACTCCTGTTAGATAAGCTGGAGACCTTCTGTCCTTGTATGCCCCTGGGGTTGGGGTCGGCAGCCAGCACTGTGTCTGGACCTCCCAGGCCCAGGTCTGTGGCTGTGGCCCTGACCTCATGGCTACAGCTCCCACCTCGCAGGAGCAAATGCGAGGCACCTGCAAGGAGAGCTTCAAGGCAGGACGGCGTCTCTCAGGGCTCTTGCACCAGTTCATACGTGTCAAACCTCTCTGAGCCTTAGGTGCTCATCTGTGACCCCTCCCTGCTGTGAGGATGGACCCAGGAAATGCAAGGGAAACAGAGGCTGAGAGGGTGGGGCTGCTGCCACAAGCACCTTGCTGCCCTGCCTTTGGCTTGCTGTGAGCCTCTCTGATTTTCAAATTTGTTATTTGTAAGAGCCGCACTCCCACACTAAAGTGTTCAAACACTACAACAATGTCCCCAGGGATGGGCTGGCCTCCCCTACCCCAGCCCCCTTCCCCGCTCTAAAGTGCCCCATCATGCCTCTGGGGCCTCCTCTGGGTGGTTCTGTGCCATGCCAGCATCCACTGCCCTAGAGTCCAGGGCCTGCTAGGGGTCCCTGCCAACTCCTGAGAAAGCCTCTTTGAAAATAGCCAGCTTTACTATCTCAAGCCTTGGGGACAGCCTGTGCTCTGGGTGGGACCTGCTCAGAGTGCAGCCTCAGAAGCACTGAGGCCACAGGGGCTCTTTCAGAGAAGGGGACACAGAGGCTCAGAGAGGAAGGGGGTCTGTCACCCACGATGCATACTGAACAGGATTGGAACCCGGGGCCTGGAGTTCTGTGCTGGGGGTGGGGTCAGCTGAGGGCAGGGCCACACTGAGGAAGTGGCAACCTGGAGGCTTACCTGAATATGACCCCAGGTGGGAGCTTCCCTCTAGAGAAGCTGGGGGTCACCTGAATATGACCCCAGGGTGGCCTGGGGCAGTGGTGTCTGAAGGGTATGCCTTTCTCAGGCCAACACTGGAGTGACCCCAAATGATGATTCCCTCTGCCCCTAGTCACCAACCAAGCCTAGCCTGCCCAGCTCCACCTTCTGCCACACCCATTCAGCACACAGACCAACCTTGGCCTGGGGTAGGCCTTTGTTTTCTGAGAGGGTGCTGTAGACCTGGGGAGCCCAGGCAGAACTTTGTACCCATCGAGGCTCCAGTGCAAGACCTGGGGCTGGAACTTAGGCCAACAGCGGCCTACAGACTGTGCTTCTGGCCGCACAGATCTCCTAGCCATCAGCCCAGGCAGAGTGCAGAGAGCAAGAGCAGCTGCCTGGAAATCACCAATGACCCTGGTGTGGGATGCTGGTACCCTGCACTGTCCAACCTGCTGAGCAGTTACTGAGCACCTGCTGTTCCAGGTGCTATTGCAGGCCTTTCCCACACAGCAGTCCCCTGGTATGGCTAGGTTCTCTCACCTCCCAGACACTGGGAGCCATTCCAGGTCCCAGACCCTACAGGCAGTGAAATCAGATGAAGCACCTGACAGCAGCCAAACCAAGAGGGGGTCCTTCTCCCTGAGGTTGAGGTCCAGAAATATGAGGTGTGTCCCAGTGCTATAGCCCATTGGGGCCCTGCATGCTGGAGGTATGCAGGGCACAGCAGGCAAAGGGTTCCCACATCTTGTCCCAGAACTTCCTAACATTTGAATAATTCAGGCCAGGTGAGAGAGGACCCTGCGAGGCAGAGGCCTCACTGTCACCTGGGGCTGTCTCTGACCTCCTGAAATCACCAAGCATCTGAGCTGAGGATCTGTGGGAATAGCCACCCCTACCCCTTCCCTACACAAGGACCCTGCTCAGGTCACACAGCACATTAGGGACACAGGGCTGACAGAGAATCACATGTCCAAGGCATGGACCAGCCTGTAAGGGCCACCTGTAGGAGCAGCCCAGGCCCTCGCCCTGGTTCACAGGGCCTCTCGTGTCCTCCACCTGCTCTGGGTCCATCAGCCAACCCGAGGCAGGATCTGCCTGTCCACACCTGCCTCTCCTCCTGCATTGCCTCACTGGTACAAACTATAGAAAGAAAAAGAAAGCCCAGAACCTACACCCCCAAACCCTACAGTGGTATCTGTCAACATTTTAATGTCCTTTGTGTCCTTCCTATGCAAACATACACAGGTAAACAGTTTCAACCTGTGTGTCTGGAACACAATACATTTGGGTAAACTGCTTTTTTTCTTTCTTTCTTTTTTTTTTTTTTTAAGAGATAGAGCCTCACTCTGTCACTCAGACTGGAGTGCAGTGGCATAGCCACAGCTCATTGCAACCTTGAGCTCCTGGGCTCAAGAGATCCAAGTAGCTGGGGCTACAGGTGCACCACACACCCAGCTAATGTTGAATTTTATTTTAACATAAAGGTGGTATCTCACTTCATTTTCCAGGCTGGTCTCAAACTCCTGGGCTCAAGCAATCCTCTTGGCTTGGCCTCCCAAGTGCTGGGACTATAGGCATGGCGACCATGCCTGGTGGGCAAACTGTTCTTTTAGTTGCTGTATTTTCAGATAGAGAGCCTCCTCCTCGTGTCTGATGGCTGGCACTCCCTTGAATGGGTGGAGATTTTTAGTTTTTAAGATGCCATTTCCTGAGTATTTGCTATGTGAGACACTGAACTGATCCTTTCACATCTATAGTAATGACAGGTGACAATAATAGACCCTCACCATATTCCAGGCATGATTCTGTGGGCTTTCCATACCTCACTCATTTGCCCTTCACAGAGCAGGAACTGAGAAGCTGAGTGGCAAGGTAACTCTCCCATGTTCATACCGTGAGTTAGTGGGGAGGCTCAAGATTGTCCCCCAGGTAGAAACAGGCTCAGAGAGGTGAAGGGACTGACCTCAGGTGACACAGCTGCTCCTAGCAACCCTTCCCTGTGTGCCTGTTTACCCTAAACCAGGCCTCCAGGGATATCCCCAAGTAGACACCTGTGGCCTGGGGCTGGGTTTATCTAACGTTCTCCTACCCCTGGAGACACTGGCACAGCTGTGATTGCTCCCAAACCTGTTTAGGTGCTCAAGGGCTGGGATGGGGGCTTCCCCTAAGTCAGTGATGGTCCAGCTCCCTGAGGAGGGTGGGCATCTTCACCCTTGAGCATGTGGGCATCTGTAGATCCTGCCCACCCTCCCCAAATGTGGAGTGGACAGCCACAGTGGGATGCCTCCATGCACCGCCCCTCACTTGCCTAGGGTCCCCATTCTATAAGTTCTTCTCCTCCCCTGGCTAGACCAGGGTTGCAGTGAACAAGGGCAGCTGGAATGGGCAGATCAGCTCACAGCTCACAGCTCACAGCTGGAGGGGCGACGTTTGAGGGTGGGCATGTGTGGGCACAGTAGCCATCTACAGGGTCTCGTATCCTCCTCCCCCACTTTCCCACCTTTCTCCCTCCTTCCCCACTCTGTATCTTCCTGGCTGCCCTCCTCCTTGCATCCAGACTATTTCCTGAGGTGGGTTCCCCTCCTCTCTTTCCTCAGCCAAGCCAGTGGACCCAGCCGCAGGAGTCCAGACAGACAGGAAGGGGTTCTAAAGCTCTGGGTGGAAGTTGTCCTAGAGATACCTCAAAGAGTCCCTCTGTGGGCCAAGAAATCCTCAGCACTGTCCTGGGAGAGCCTTAAAGTATAAGGTTTTACCCAAGTCCCCACAACCCAGACTCCCAATCACCTACCCTGCAAAGGCTATGGGGGTGGGGTGACCCAGGCGAGGGTCCTCCCTGTGCCCAGCCCTGGCTCTGTGCTGCTACCTGTGCTCCTGACCCAGAGACAAGGCCACTGCCTGAATGATGGGGCACTCAGCAGACTTCAGAAAAGACATGTGCCCCTAGGCCCAGCCCTACTCCCAGCTCCAGCCCAGGCAGACGTGTACTCAGAAAAAGCCCTGCAGTCGGCTGCAGAGCCACTACCCCTAGGAGCACCACCTCCTTTTTATGCACCCAAGTCTCCTGGGTTGAGTGGGAGACAAGTATCCCCTGATTATGTAGTGGTGAGGTCAGTGGACCCAGAGGCTCAGTGGGAGAGACAGGAATTGGGAGCATGTGTGTTCATGTGGGGGTTGGTAAGGCTTAGAGACCAGGACGGATGTTAAACAACTCTTAGGCAGAAGCTAACAGGAGGGGTTGATAACTTCAGGCAGGAACAATTTCTCTGCCACCTTACATGAACTTTGGCTAATCACAGTATCATTTGCATTGAGGTTTTACAGTTTCTCTGCCCTTGAAATCACTGTGATGGTTCCAAAACAACCATCTAAAGTATGAAAACGGGAGGGAACTCAACTCCAGGAATTACTATCCAAATTCTCAGAAAAAGCCTTGAATACTCCTCCCCTCAATTAGTAAGACTAAAAAGATTTCAGACCACCTCCTCCTAGTGTAGCTAAAGGGCCTGCCGGCTCTCCCTCCAAGAGTGTATGAGGGTTTTCCACAAAAGCTTTACCTTGCTTGGTTTACATGGTGTGTCCTGAAATTCTTTTCCTGAGGAACCCCAAGAACGTGAACAAATGTGGTAACAGGAGGTGGTAACAGCAGGACTAGAGGAAGCAGGAAGAGGGAGGAAGTCTTTTAGGCTCTGGTCTCTCAGCTGCCAGCCTGCACTGACATCTCCAGGGCTAGGCTTCCAGCTGTGGGTCCCTCCGCAGCAGGAGGGGACACAGTGGGCAAAGTGGGTGACTAGGAGGCTGTATTCTTTGAGCAACAGCCTTTGGATACATCAAAGGATACATCCCCACTGTCTTCATCTTGAGGGGCTGCCCCTCCCAGGGGACAGAGGCTCAGAGTCAGGACAGGGGTGCTCCATGGTCCAGTGTCAGCAGGACGGTGTAAGGCCCTTCTTAGGTCAGGACAGTGAGCACTCAGCTCCTATCCAGCAGATGAGCAGATCCGGGAACCCAAGAAAGCCAGCTCCCCCTCTGCCACAGGTGCTGGCCCCAGAAACAAAGCTAGAGAAAGAAAGAATTCGGCCTCTGCCCTTGACAATGACCAACGCACGCTCAGCTGCGGAAGAGCTGTGGGTGGCGCAGCCCCAGGGAGCGCCTCTTTGGAGGGCCGGCAGGAGCCCTGTCACCCATCTCGGGCCCCGCGTGTGGCCGGCTACCCAAAGCAGCTCAGCCTCTCAGGCAAAAGGGACAGGAGGCCGCCAGAGTCCCAAGTGCCCTGCTGCTGAGTCTCTTTCATCTACCTGGCTCCTCCCCTTGGATTTCCTGAGGGACATAGGCTAGGAATGCTTGAGAACGAGAATGGCGACAGTGGTGTTAGCGTATATTTAGGGGGTTGGATGAGGTTACAGGCTGGGACTGAAAATACACTTCGGGGCCAGATCGCGATTCGTACAGAACCGCTGCAAACGCCCGGGCCGTGCTCCGCTGGGTGGGAAGGCCTGAGAGGTGAGCAGCGGAGCTGCTGGGGACCAGAGTGTGTCACATTGTCTTTGCAAAGTCTTGCCGGTTAGGCTGGAGAAGTGCTGGTCCCCTTCACTTCGCTGAGACCTCCGCGGTGGGACCGCGTTTCCAACCACAGCGAGGGACGCGGGAGCGATCAGGTCCGGAGGAGGCGGAGACGCTGCACACAGCCTGGTTCCGCCTGCAGCGCCAGGAGCGGCCGCCAGATGCCGCTGTGGTGCTAAACACGCCCCACCCCGCCTGAGGAAAGCAATAGTGGCGCAGGCCCGGGAGGCGGGCCGGACCATTGAGGGCTCAGAGACGGGGAAAGAGACGGGGAAGGGTGCCTCCCCCTCAGCCGGCTCTGTCAGATGGTTTGCTCCGCCTCGCTGCGCCTGCGGGTTCCCAGGCCAGCCTGCGGGGCGGCGAACGGCGGTGCAGCGGGAACCGGCTGGCACTGGAGCAAGTAGCCTGCGCGCCGCCGCGGCGATGCTGGGGCTGCTGGTGGTGTTGTTGGCCCTGGCGCTCGCCTTCTTCGCGCTGCTAGATGTTTGGTACCTGGTGCGCGTGCCGTGGGCCGTGCTGCGCGCGCGCCTGCTGCAGCCGCGCGTCCGCGACCTGCTGGCGGAGCAGCGCTTCCCGGGCCGCGTGTTACCCTCGGACTTGGACCTGATGCTGCACATGAACAATGCGCGCTACCTGCGCGAGGCCGACGTGGCGCGCGCCGCGCACCTGACGCGCTGCGGTGTGCTTGGAGCGCTGCGAGAGTTGGGTGCATACTCGGTGCAGGCCGCCTCGTGCGCGCGCTACCGCCGCTCTCTGCGCCTCCTGGAGCCCTTTGAGGTGCGCACCCGACTGCTGGGCTGGGACGACCGCGCCTTCTACCTAGAGGCCTGCTTTATCAGCCTGCGCGACGACGACTTCGTGTGCGCGCAGCTGCGCTTCAGGCAGCATGTAGTGGGCACCTCGCCCGAGCGCGTTGTGCAACACCTTTGCAAGCGCACGGTGAGCAGCCCCGACCCCGTGCACATTCCTGCAGGGTACCCAGTGCTTACTGGTCCCTGGCCCCTCCCTAGAAGACGGTCTACTGCTTGCACCTCTTTGGGATGTCCTGTCCCACCCCAAAAGCCCCTGCCCTTTTCTCTGGACTGAGGGCCTTTCTGATGCCCTGGGGATTCCCTGGGTCCCTGAATCAACACTTCGTAGTCGGACTCAGCGTGCTCCTCCCTTGCCGTTTCTTAACCCGGTTCTTCACGGTTTCATGTTCCTCCTTCCCCTCTTCAGCACTGCAGACCACGCTGTACCACCAGGACTTGCACCCTAGGACAGACCAGACCTCTCCTAGGGTGCAAATCCTGGTGGTACTGCGTGGCCTGGCATGCTGAACCGCTCTCTCCTTGGTTCTGACCGGAGGCTGGAGAGGAGTGGTTAGTCAGGAGGTTGGTGAGCATTTCTTGGGACCTGACACTTTCCAGCTTCTAACTGAGGGCCTACGTTTCAGTCACCTGGTTTGAGGTTAAAGGACTAGGTCCTGGAGAGCTGCAAGCTTCCTTGCCTTTCTCCAGTTGGAGACAGGGCAAGGCTCTTCCCCAGGGCCTGCTTCTCCTTGCATGACAAAGCTTGTTACAGCCTGGCAGCTGGGACCCTGGGGATGGCCAGGATGGCCACGGTTGCCAGTGGCAGGTTTTTGAAAAGTTGCCTGGAGCCTCCAGGGGAAAGCCAGGGCCTGCCTGCCCCTGGTGCACCCCCAGGTGGGATGCTGCCCTCTCTTTGGCCTCGCACAGGCATCTCCCAAGTAGAACAGGAAGAGAGTCTCACCTTAGTCATAGAGGTGGGGACACTAAGGGTCCAAGACAGGGTGACAACCTGCCTAGGCCGGGTCCTGGTCTTTTGTCTTTGTGGAGTCAGGAAAACCCCAAAGAACCTAGATCACTCTCTGTCCCTGCAGGGCAAGGCAGATGCTGGGCTCTGTGTCCCTTCATGTCAGGAGTCCAGGAAGGGATGGCCATCACAGTCATGCATAGGCTGGTTGGTGAGGGGGCCAAGACCACTGCACAGCAAGGATAGTTGAAGAGGTGGAGCTTATAGCTTGCTGACTCCCAGGAATGCTGCAGGCCAAGGGTTTCTAGCCTGAGCCCAGGTGGGTGAGGGTCCCATGCCAAGTGGCGGGTATGGTTTGGGTCCAGGCCAGGGTTCTATGTGCTGAGAGGCTGGCCTGGGGTGCTGAGGCCAGGGAAGGAAAGTGGGGGTAGAGCCAGACACTGGTGCTGGGACTTCCTGTGAGGACCAGGCAGTTCCTCCTCCCTGACCGCAATTGTTCTGCACAGACCCAGGCTCCATCTCTAAGCACCTCTGTGTGGCCACTGACCCTGTGGTTGGGTGGACATTTGCCTGGCCACTCTCCTCCTATTAGAGTCCCTGGCACCCATCTGCAAAGCCTCTGACTCCTCAGGCCTGGCCCAGAGTCATGCTGCCATCACCATATGGTGGCTGTGTGTACAGGAGGAGGCAGCTGGTACAGCCAAGCAGGAGGGCTGGGAATGGCATGGTTGGGCCCAGAGCTGCCCTGGAGATCAAGTCCAAGGCCCTTGGTGCACTCTCCGCCAGCCCTAGCCTGCACTGTCAGGGGAGAGTGGCTCTTGTGCCATTCCACCTCCACCCCTTCACCCTGCCACTGGCTCCTCTGGGTTTTCTGTCATCTTCCAACCTGACAGCCTCAAGGCTTTTGCTTGGGCTCTGGGGACAGAGAGGGCTCACATGGCCTCCCTGGGGAGATGGGCCTGACAAAGGCAGGGTCATGTGGAGAGAGTTCTCATGGTGGAATAACAAGCACGGGGTGGAGAGGGGGCTCCTGGAAGGTCACAGGCTGAGGAGTGGCATGGGCAGAGGTCCAGAAGAGGAAGGCAGCAACCTAGACCCTGCTTGCCCACAGCAGTGCATGACCCATCGGAGCCTCACCCTCTTATCCTCTGCAGGTGGAGCCGCCTGAGCTGCCAGAAGACCTGCAGCACTGGGTCAACTACAACAAGGCCAGCAGCCAGCTGCTTGGCACGGAGCGTGGGCTCAGCAGTGCCGGCAAGGACCAGTGACCACTGCCCCTACATCCAGCCCACCCTGCCTGCAAAATGAGCAGGCCCAGCTGGGCTCTCTGGGAGCTAGAGTGGCCCCTACCCAGTCCCCTTCATCCACTGGGCTCCCTAGTTATTGACACCCTTCCGTGCTGGGCAGGGGATGGGGGAGCATTGGTGCCCTCACCCACGGTGGGGATGGAGGGGCAGGAGGCCCAGCCCAGCCCTACAGTGACATAGGCATAGGTGGGGAGGACAGGCCAAAAGCACAGTGTCCTGAGTACATCCTGTTAGCTGCTTGGAGGGGCAGGGCCAGGCCAGCGCAGCACTTGCCAGACTATTCCCTCTGGTGTTCACTGAGGTAGGGCAGACCCAGGATGGAGTCTGGGTGGTCAGATGCCTGGCTAGAGACAGACCAAAGGCAGGAAGGAGGGTCAGCTGGCATGTGCCAGCAGCATTCAGCCTTCCACGAGCTCCCCTGGTGTGGTAGCCTCTGCCATCTTTCCAGGTGGCTGAGAGGGGTCATTTGGCACAGGGCTCCCTGCTGGGGTGTCCTGGTCAGAATGGGAACAGAGCAGGGGCTGAACTCTGGTAGGTGCTCATCAAGGCTGTGCTCTATAACCTTGGGCTGGGCCCTTCCCTCTGGACTACAGCATCTCAGGCATCTGTCTTCCCATGATTGCTGTTCCTGCTCTGAGAGCTGTTTCGCTAGAAGGCTGGTGGGGGTATCTTCTTGGCCTCTCTACCTTCTGTTTTATAGGCTTCTTGTCAGCTGCCAGGCCAGGCTGTACCTTGCTCTAGTGGCCTGTCCTGGCAGCTGATGGGGATACCAGGCTGCTGGGATGCTGGCCCGGGCTGCCTGCTCCTGCCTATTCCCTGACCTTAATAGCTGGGGAAACTGAGGACAGAGTGGGGGCTGGTCCCCAGCCAGACTCTGGCCAATGCCTTCAGCTCCCAGAGAGGGGATGACCTGTCTAGCTGGGCTGCTGAGTCCCAGGACCCTGGGTATGGGGATCACTGCTTGCCCACTCAGGCCCTGTGCCACCCACACTGGCCCCCACCAGCCTAGGGCAAATCAGCAGCTGGACCCAGGACTGCCTTGCTGCCCCCTTAGGAGCCCTGCTTAAGCCAGAGCCAGGAGTTGAGGGGATGCCCCTGACATCTCCTTTGCACCACCCCCTCCCTCACTGTTCTTGCTGCTGCTGTTCTTGCCTTAAAGCCACTTGGGAATGGCAATCTTTTTGTCTTATTTAAAGAGGAAAGCTTAAGATTAAAGGGTTTCAAATGCAAGCATGCCTGGAAGGCCTCCTTTCTGACTGTCCCTTCCCCTGGGGCCATTCTCAGGATGTGTTTCTGATGTGGGGGCTGTGCAGGCTTGTCAGGCTCCTTGAGCTCAGGGGTCAGGCTGACAGGGCAGGACTTGTCTGCATCCCATAGAGCCTGAGGCTGGGAAGGGGTTGCCCAGGAGCCCCTGCTGGCACTTCTTGGCCCTCTCCTGGACCCCAGCCCTTGAGCCTTTCAACTCCCATCCACAGATGCCCAATCTGGGCTCCAGGAGCCTGAGGGCAGGGTGGGGGTAGCAGCTGGGGGCTGAGATCAATGGACCTTGGTGGGAGGTCTGGGCAGTGAGTTGAGGGGCTCTTCCTTAGGGTCTTTGAAGAGAGCAGGGAGAAGTGGGATTCCGGGACGTAACTGCAGGTGAGGGGGACAAGGGCCACATCTGTTCAAGCCTCCTGCCCAAAGAACAGGGCAGGGAAGAAACAGGCAATTGGAAAGAGCTGGATTTGAATCAGGCATTTTGTGATGGGGGAAGTAGGACTGAAGATGGAGCTGCAGCCAAGAGGGTGGGGCAGAGCCTCTGCTCCCCTGGGGTTCCAGAGGACAAGTTTCCAGGGGATTCCAGACAGGAAGTGGTGGGCATACATGTTGTTCAGGTATAGACTGGTCCAGCCAGTGTCCCTGGAACCTCAGGTGGGGTGCCTCAGCCATGTTTGGCATCATATGACGGTGTCCCCATGGATCCCTGGCTCAGCAGCTATCCCCAGGCTATGAAGGGCACTTCTGCCTGGACACAGAGTCCCAGGCTCAGTGGTTGGACTAAGGAAGAGTGTGCCCTTGTGAGCGTGTTGAGGGGTTGTGCACAGTGGCTGGACCTTGAAGATGGTTGAAGGCTGTACCCTGAAAGCCTCTTGGGCTTTTCTGTTAGTGTAGGAGCTAAAAAAACATGGCAGGGGCCCAGGGGCCAGCTTGGCAGAGGGTTTAAGGCCAGCGGTCTCTCTTGGCTTTTATGTTTGTAGGACAGGCTGACCACTCAGCAGAAGAGGGACCCCGCTGAGTTTGGAGCATTGTTCCAGGGTGATGGGTCTGGCCTGGGTCAGGGAATGGGCAGCTGGGACTTAGAAATGAGGCAGTACCTTGTTTTTCCAGCAGGACCCAGTCCGATCCCGTAGGCCTGCCGCTCCTAGGAAGTTAGGGGAAAGTGACTGCTCCCACCCATGCATGGGCTGGGCCCTGCTATCCCTCCTGTGCCTCCCATGGGCTGACAGCTGCAGGACAAATGTCAGCTCCAGGAGCCCCACCCACTGTGGTGTCTGAGGTCTGCACTGTGTCTGGGTGCTAGGCCCAGGACCTCTGTGGTAGGTGCTGATGAAGCAGTCCCTAGAGACTCTTGCCCTGGGGTAGGGGGCAGTGTGTGCCCTGTGGGCCAGGTGGACAGAGCCTGGGCTGCTTTGGTGAGGTGTCCTTGGGCCTATGCTGGGGCAGCTGCCTGTTGCATTGCTGGCTGGAGCACCTGCCTCCTAGGCCCACTCAGCTGGCCGGTCACTGCTGTGTCCCCTTCCATCCAGACCCAGAGATGCAGACCCTCTGCACAAGGCTTTGATGAGTGGGGTGCAGCTCTACCTGGCACCCACCTCTAGAGCTCCTTTGGATCTTGGGACAACAGGATGTTGCCCACCTCCTGGACAGGGAAACAGAGGCCAGGACAGAGTGTTCCCAGCATGGCCAGGTGTCTCAGTGAGGCCAACCAAAAGGGCTGACGTGTCCTGGGCTAAGATGGCCCCTCCTGTCTGACTTCTCTGCCCAATACCAGGGGACCTAAGGGAGAAGGAGACTTTTCTTGGGCTTAGGTCCTGGTCCGGGAGGTGGTGGGGCTAGTTAGCAGGAAGTTTGCAGACTTTCCCTATCTGTAAAATGAGCCCAAAAGGTCCTGGATGAGACATGGCCAGCTCTGTGCTTCTTGGTACCCAGGAAGGACAGAAGTCATCTCGACTCTTGCCTTATTTATTTTCTATGAGTTTTGGAGACGGAGGGCAAAAAGTGCCCCTGGCATGCTTCTCTCCCCTTGGGGCCCTTGAGTGGCATGAGGACACTTGGCACAGCTGGCCGCCGGCAGAGCCAGGCCCCATCAGGAGAGGAGGTGCCGAGGAGAGCCTTCCCAGCCTGCTGCCCTCACGAGTTGCAGAGGTCACGGAAGCAGCAGTAGACTGGGTGGGCATCCCCAATGCCGTCAGGGTCAGTGGCAATGCAGGAGCTGGAGCAGGAGCGGGTCACCATGGGGCTGTGGTTGAAGGGGTACTCTGCAGGGTAGGCCAGTGTCAGAGCCACCGCCCTGCCCAGCCCTGCACTCGCCTGTGCCCTTGGCTTTGCCCTTTCTGCCGCTTACAACCCTTCCCTGCCATCCCCATTCCTCAGGTTGGGTCTGGAGAGTCCTCCATGCCTATCTCCCAGACCAATGGGGACGTGTTCATGGATAAAGCCCCAGCCCCTCACACATCTGCAGCACCAGCCATAGGCAACCCAGGCCAGAGGCTGAGGCAACAGCACCTACCAGTGTGTGGCAGAGCTGGGACCTGAGTCCCACCCCACCCCCTGTGCCTGGTGCCCCAGAGTAGGTCCCTAAGGGGCAGTAACCCCCTAAGCTGCATGGGCCTCCTCTAAGGTGGGGAAGTCCACCTTGCCCTTCCCACCCACCACCTCTCAGGCCCAGAGGAGCAACAGCAGGATGAGGGAGGCATTTGGGGGTGTGCATCCCAGGACTGCTAGAGGCCCCTGCCTCACCTGACTCCACCGTCACCAGCGTGGTCTTGCAGGCTGTGTCCTCTGGCTTGCATTGGGTGATGTTCTTGCACAAAGCAATGGCTGTGGGCTGCTCACAGTTGTAGCACCTGAAGGCCTCACCTGGGCAAGGGGTGGGGACAGAACCTCATCACCTGGCCTTGAGGCCCATCCTGGCACCTGGAGGAAGAGGCTGAAGGAGACTCATTGGTCCCTTTGAGGCCCTCTGGCTGACTGACAGACTTGTACTCCACATCCCTCCACCAAGCCTCGGTCTCCCTTGCTAGAGAATAGGGCCATGATCCCTAGCTCTAGGACCCAGAAAACTCATTGAGAATGAGGACAAGGAGCTCAAAGGGGGTCCTGAGGAGGCCTTCAGTCCTCTAGGAGGTGGGCAGACAGGTGCAGAGGCAGGGCCATGTGCGGCCTACTCACCACAGCCCACGCTGCAGGCTGCCATGAGCAGCAGCCGCACAGCCCAGCAAGGGCCCATCCTTTGTGCTCCGGAGATGGAGGCGGCTGGCCTCACATCGAGATTTATACCTACCCAGCCCCTAAGACAGCTGCTCCTGGGCGGTGGCAGGAGCCAGTCTGTGAGTCAGTGGAGTGTCATAGGGAGGCAGCCACCTGAACTATTGTCACTCACCAGCTAGGGGGGAGGGTGGGACCTAGAAGCCCCGTCTGAGGACCATGGCCCTGCCTTCTGCTTGCACACCTCCAGCTCTGGAGAACTTATCCCTCCCCAGACATGCCCTGTCTCTTAGCTCTGATCGAGGAGGCACATCCTGCTGAGCTCAGACTGACCCTCTGATGGGCCCCCATGTCCTGGCTGGGCCCCTGAGGTTCACATAGGTAACTATGTCTGCCACATAGGTGCACTTTAAATGGGGGAACTGTATGATATGTGAATTATATCTTGACGAAGCTACTATAAAAAAAGAAATAACAGTATTTTGAGTACTATGTTAAAATACCATTTTTTGGCTCGGCGCCTATAGCTCAACCGGCTAAGGCGCCAGCCACGTACACCTAAGGTGGTGGGTTCGAATCCCCAGCCCGGACCCGCCAAACAACAATGACGGCTGCAACCAGAAAATAGCTGGGCGTTGTGGCGGGCGCCTGTGGTCCCAGCTACTTGGGAGGCGGAGGCAGGAGACTCGCTTGAGCCCAGGAGTTGGAGGTTGCTGTGAGCTGTAATGCCACAGCACTCTACCCAGGGGGATAGCTTGAGGCTCTGTCTCAAAAAAAAAAAAATACCATTTTTTGATTAACAAGTTAACCTATTAATAGAAATCACATCTGAGCATCTTGGAGTGTTTATAATGTACTCCACCTCTAGTCTTGGGGACATTTAAGGTCCAGGATGGCCTTGGCCCTTGCTGCCCAGACCCTGCCTCTTGTTCTTTCCCTATAGCCCGCCTGACCTCAGCAGGAAGCCCACAAAAGAATTGCATCTGGCCAAGGCCACTGCCCTCCACACCCAGACCCCTCTGCCTGGCGTACCCCTGATACACATGCCACAAAGTAGAGACCAGTGTGGAAAACTGAGGGCCTGATGAGGTGTTGGTTGGGTGTGGTGTTGGCTGGCGAGGCCTCTCATCACTGATGGCCTCTTCCCAGCTAATAGCCTGTAGGCCAAGCCTGAGTTTCTCAGTTTTAGGCCCCTGACAACAGGGCTCTACCACTCTCCTGGCCTGACAGTTTTGTCTGACCTTCACGGCCCTCCTCCCACTGAACATTTTGTGTCCATGCCTTTTCTGCCTGGGCCTTCCAGAGAGCACACTATATGGTCCCTTCCCCAATGCCTCACTCTCCCTGTGCTGCAAGGCCTGTCTAGTTTCTCCTGCTCCACAGCCCTATCTCGTATGCCAGCCTCTCAGGTTTCCCTGTCCTCCAAGGTCCTAATGAGGGCTATGTGGATGGATGGATGGATAGATGGATGGAGTGATGGTTGAGTGGATAGATGGATGGTTGGAGGAATGAATAGCTGGATAGGTGGGTGGAGGGGTGGATGGACTGGTGTATAGGTGGGTGGGTAGATGGATGATATTTGAGAGTGAATTGTGGAGAGAGGAATGTGGGGATGGGAGAATTCCAGGACAGAGGGATAGGTGGCTGGAGAAGTAGGGGTAGACAGATGGATGGTGAATGGGGCCTGATGAGGCAGAATGGGATGCTGGACAGGGCTTTAGGCTAGTGTCCATGTCGGAGGCCTGAATTTTGGGCTTGGCCTTGATGCTGTCTCCATATATGGCCTTGGGTGGCCCCTTTGTTTCTCTAGACCTGTGTTTTTCAACCTTTTTTTTTTATCTCACGGCACACTTGAACCTGTAGTTAAACTTACATGGAACACTTAAATTATGTTGATCAAAAAAAAATATATGCTTACTATGCTTTGAACTTCTTTTGAAAATTATTTATTGGCTCGGAGCCTATAGTTCAACCGGCTAAGGCGCCAGCCACGTACACCTAAGGTGGCAGGTTCGAATCCCCAGCCCGGACCCGCCAAAAACAACAATGACGGCTGCAACCAAAAAATAGCCGGGCGTTGTGGCGGGCGCCTGTGGTCCCAGCTACTTGGGAGGTGGAGGCAGGAGACTCGCTTGAGCCCAGGAGTTGGAGGTTGCTGTGAGTTGTAATGCCACGGCACTCTACCCAGGGGGACAGCTTGAGGCTCTGTCTCAAAAAAAAGAAAATTATTTATTTACTTTTATTTCTTTTTTAAAGAACATGTTGCTTTCTCTTTTCTTTTCTTTTCTTCTTTTTTTTTTTTTGAGACAGAGCCTCAGAGCCTCAAGCTGTCACCCTGGGTATAGTGCTATGGCATCACAGCTCACAGCAACCCCCAACTCCTGGGCTCAAGCGATTCTCCTGCCTCTACCTCCCAAGTAGCTGGGATTACAGGTGCCTGCCACAATGCCCAGCTATTTTTTTTGTGGGAGGTTGTATCCGTCATTATTGTTTGATGGGTCCTGGCTGAGCCTCGGGTATATGTGGCTGGCACCTTAGCCGCTTGAGCCACAGGCACCGAGCCTTAATTAATGATCTTTAAAAATTTTTCACAGCACACCTAAGATTCTCTCACACCACACCAATTTGCCATGACACCTCAGTTGAAAATCACTGCTCTACACTTTAGTTTCCTGTTTGTAGATTGCAAAAGTGGGCTGAGGCTAGTTTTACAAGGCTAAGGGATGGTTGCAAGAAATCAAGGGGAGGGCATAGTTTGCAGAGGGAGAGACCATGGTTACAGCAAATCAAACACTGGGGCTGCACCTGCGCAGGCAGCAGGAGCAGCTCCTCCCCAGGGCTTGCTCCGCAGATACATCCAGATATTGTGAGGTGCCAGGGACTGTTTGGTTCTGGACCCTGGTCTTGACTCTGCCCAACATCCTGTGTATTCCACGCTTGCTTACTCTTGTCCCCCTTTTGTGGGGTGGTGGTGGAGGGAAACAGCTGCCCCACAGGATGGCCATGAGAACTAGCAAGGCTGAGCTAAGGGTGGGTCTCCGCCAGTTTCACAGCTCCATGCAGGTTGCAGTGTGGGTGGATGGGTGGCTGTGCCAGCGAGCCTCAGGTCTGGGTGCTGAATATGGAGGTGCCGGTGTGTCGTCGGTTGCAAACACCTGGGCTGCTGCTTGCCCGACTTTGAAAGGAGGGAAAACCTGGGAGGATGTCCCAGGTGGGAGTGGCAGCAAGAAGAGGGGCACACACGGCCCTACTTCAGGCAAAGTGGGTGCCACCCTGGTCCATCCCTGAGCCCAGCACCCCATTAGCTGGTGGGAAAGCAGCACCAAGCAGACACAACCTGGGCAGGGCTGAATTTGTGACCCAATTGGCCTGCCCTCCTAGCCTCCTGCCTCTTGGGGAAGCCATGCCCTTCCTGCTGGCCCTACATGTGGAACCAAAGACCAGTTCGGAGACTGGTCACAGGTAGTGTGTGACATGGGGGATAGCCCAGCTTCCTGAGCCTGGAAGTACTCATCTGGGGTCAGCCTGCATCCCTGTCCCAAATGCTGATTGCCCCTAGCCCTTGGGGTTGCTAGATAGTTGAAGTGAGGGGCTGTGTGTAAAAACTGAGCTTTGCCAAACCATCAGCAGCAGCTGGCAGAGGCTCCAGTGGGGTATCCCTACATCCTCCCTCCTGTGGTCTGCCCACCTCAGGAGGACAGAGAGGAACCTCCAGGGCTGCTCTCCAGGCCCTCACCCATTATTCAAGATGGATCCATGGCCCCTGGCTGTACCTGTCCACCCAGCTGGCCATAGCTGCCAGGTCAGCCATCCATGTCCTGGGAGCTGGCTCCTCCTCCTTGGGCACACCCCTTCACCCTCCACTCAGAGGAACTGAGTTTAAAATGCACACTGCACTGGTCCACTGCCCTTTCCAGAACCCTCCAGGGCTGTCTACTGCCTTTGGGATGCAGGCAGAGCCCTGCCCCACCTTTGGTGGCTAAGGCCTGCCCTTCCTGGCCCAGCCTGAGAGGCTGCTAAACTGTTGGCTCCTTTCCTGGGGGAACATGTCTCCATTCCTATAAGAATCCTCCCTAGCCCAGCCCTGGCCATGCTGTTGAGCAGGGTTGGCTGGATGGAGGGACAGGCGGATGGGTGGGTAGGTGGAAGGACAGATGGCCTGAGGGGAGGGGGACGGTGCATGGGTAGCTGTATGAATGATGGATGGATAAAAGGATGGATGGGTAATAAATGTTTCTTCCAAGGAAATCCAGAACAGGTGTTGTTTGTGGCCCTACCTAGACCTTGTCCTGGCACTTGGATTGACCTCTCCAAGGGTAAAAATGCCCATGTAGCCTCTCTGATGGGGTTGAGTTAGCACAGGCTTGGACACTCCTGCAGATGGGAAGCTCACTCCCTCTCAGAGCAGCTTCACATCTACTCTCCCTGTTGCCACAGACCCCCACAGAGAGGAGCATCCAGCTAGGGGAAGGTGGCCTATGCCACCAGATGTGGGATTCAGCTCCTTTCCTTCCCTACCTGATCCTGTCTCCTCAGCCCCAACCTGGGGCCCCTGGCTCCTCCTTTCCCCACCATGCCATACCTGGTACTGTCCAGCCCCTACAGGATCTAGAGCTGCCAGGCTGCTGTACTGGTGAAGCCCTAGCTTGGCTGGGTCCCTGCAAACCTGCTTCTCCCAGCTGATGAGTTGAGGAGGGGGCCTGGCTGAAGGACTCAGGCCATATGGAGTCTCAGAATAGAGACAGTTACTAAAAGGTGGCCTCATAGCCAATGAGGTCAAGGTCAAAGGTAGGGTTTAAAGGCCTCACTTATAACCTATGACTGGGCATGAACTGAACACTTTTCCTGCCATTGACTGAACACATTCTCCCATCAAATAATGAGCCTTGACCCTGTTCACAGATTGAACCCTGAGCCTTGGTTTCAGAGTGAGCCTTGATCCCTGGCTACGTATAAACCCTGACATCAGTCATAGATCAAGGCCTATCATTGGTTACAGACTGAGCCCTGACTGTGGTCACAGGTGAGCCTGGTTCCCAGACTCTGTGATGGTTTGTGGAGAGTGTACGTGTATTTATAGGGTTTGTGGAGTACTGGTGTGTTTGCAGGGTGTGTGTATGTGTGTGCTGAGTCTCTACCCAGGCTTAGAAGCTGTGACCCCATGCCTCACCTTTGTTGGAGACGTAAGAAAATCCATGTGAGAAGTGTGACATGATGGGTGAGAATCATGTCTCCCTCTTGACAAAGTCACAGCTCAAGGTCACAAGTGGAACCAGCTAGAACCAGAACATTCCTAGGCTTCCAATCACCCTCAGTCCAGGAGGCTGCCCTCGTTCTGCCCCCAGGGCCTCTCTGATAGATGGCAGCTGTGTTGTGTGAGCTGCATTCCGGAGCTAGTGGGGTTCACTGTGGGGGGGGTCCTCCCTCCAGTGGCTAGCAGCTCACCCAAGGCCCCAGGAGCAGCTGCCCAAGCCACAAGGGCAAGGCAGGGGCAGCGCTGGGGGCAGGGCTTAGGGTGAATGAGGGGCCGTGCCCCATCCTCTGGTCAGACCAGGCCCAAAGTCCTACCCCTACCTCCCTTGAGCAGCCCTGGGGAGGGGCTGGTGTTGGTGGAAGGTCTGGGTCCCTGGTTTGGTGTTTTTAGGGCCGCAAGCCTGTGTATTCATACTTGCCATTGTGCTGTGTCTGCCTGGAAACCTGTGGGGTGGAGGAGCCCTACAGGGGAGGGGGAGATGGGCTGGAGGACTCCAGTTGCTGATTCCAGGCCAAGGTGAAATGAAAGACCCTCTCGGCCGGAGCTTGAGGCTGCCCTGGGCAGCTAACAGCCCTCACCCCAGGATGGGGATTCGAGAAAGTGAGAACAGAAGCTGGACATGTAGGTGAGCCTGGACTCCTGCCATGGCCTCCACCTCAAAGCAGCCTCTGCCATCAGCCTCGAGGTTTGGCCTTGCTCAGGGTCTGGAGAGAGCCATCCAGCTCCTGGGCCACTCTGGTGACTTTCTTCCACCTGTCATGCCCCTGCCCAGATCTCTCTGCTGTTCAAGGCCAAGCCCTAATGCTCCCTCCTCCAAGGAACCATTTCTAACTCTACTTCAGGGATACAGTCCTCCCTGCCCATGGGGGTGTCACTTCATGCACCTTCCGGCCAGACCCCTGAAGCCTCGAGGGCCTGAGGGCAGCAATCTGCCTGGTCTGTGTGGGAGTCCCAGTCCTAGTGACTGTCCTTGCTGCAGAGCTTAGAGCACATGACAGGGAGACAGGAAGAGAAACAGACATACAGGGACAGAGTCAGAGATGTAGCCCTGCCCAGAAAGGAGACTCAGGAGGCCTGGTGCAGGAATCACTTCTTCAGGGCATTTGGGGCTGGGCCACACAGGATAGGGGGCAGGAGCAGTAGAGGTGAGAGGGGTCTAGAACTGGAGGCTCAAGATGGGGATAAGCGTGATGACCAAGGCCAGGCCACAGGGGCTGTCCAGGGCAGGTGCCCCGTCCACGTTGCACAGCTCCGTGTTGCAGCAGGACACAGGCCGCGTCTGGCCGATGCCATCCACATCTGAGGGCTCACACTTGCTGGCACATGACTTGGTCACCGTGGAGTCCCCAAGGAAGGGGTACACTGCGGGTCCAGGAGGAGTCAGTTGTCAGGGGTCCTTTATGGCCCACAGCCCCTCTGCAGTCTCCCTTTTCTCAGTCCCTTCTGGCTCAGTGACTGAGTGACTGCTGTGTGCCTGGGACACACCTGGTGTCCTGCCCTCCCAGTGTGGACAATGGGACCAAACCAGAGATACCCAAATGAAGTTGTGGATATATTCCGCTAAAGGAAGGGATTGGTGGGGGGGAAAGGAAGGAGGGGTCCTCACTGCTGGGACAGAAAGCCTATGTCAGGAGTGAGGCAGAGGGTGGCTGTCCATTGTGCCCAGAGACCAAGCTCGCTAGTGGTGCCTGGGCTGAAGGTGGCTCTGACCTGGGACCCCAGCCCTGCCCCATGGGCAGCTACTGACCTATCTCCAGGGAGTAGAGTGTGGTCTTGCACATGGTCTCGTTGGCATGACAGGTGGTGATGGTGATGCAGCTGGCCACGCTCATGGGCTCCTGACAGGTGTAGCATTGCAGAGCGGCCACTGGAAGCAGATCAGGGCCAGTCAGCTCAGCCCTGCTCTGGAGGCCTAGCTCTCAGAGATTTAGCCGATGCCCACCTGCTAAAACTCAGGGAAGTCATCATAAACTGGACACTGGTGTGGGGAGGTAAGGTGACTGAGTCACTGGTGTCTCTATAGTGAGAGGCGGGCCTGGGTGGGTCTTGGGGCAAGGGTAGGGGCAGGTCACCACTTGGTTCCCTCCTGGGGAAGGGTTTTGTGAGGATTCAGGGATTAGGCCAGGAGGGCTATGGGTGTAGGGTGGGCTGGCATGTCTGGTGTGCCTACAGGTGCCTGTGTAACAAAAGGTGTCCACCCCCTGTGGGGTGCCGGCTACTGGGCCTGGAGGCCTGTCTACCCCCTCTTCCCCAGTTTCCCTAGCTCCAGTCCCAGGAGCCAGGTCTCTGGCAGGCTCCTCCATCCCCCCTGCATGAGCTGCCAGAACCTCTCCCCCTCTCTGGTTAAGCTCAGCTTCTCCCTCTGGGAAATGGGCATAACGGTCTGGCTCAGGCCCACTGGGCCAAGCTTCTTTGCTGGTTGAACATGGGGGGCACATAGGTCTGGGTCCTTGCTCCTTACTGTCCTCATCTCACTCTGGGCGTACAGTTTCCTTCCCTCCTCCCATCAACAGCTGCCCCAGCCCATGGTCTCCATGAAGTGCAGTCCCCAGCAGGCACCCAGGGCCTTGGCTCCTACCCACCTGGGAGGCCACATTCTGCTCACCCCACTGTAGCCCAGCCCTCTCCTAGACCACCAGGAGGGTGGACAACACCCTCCTGGGACCCCCACTCCCTCTGTCTTCCCTCCTGAGGGGCCCTCCCGGGAGATAGTTTGGGAATGTCTGTGGGTATGGGGTCCCCTCTACCCATGCTGCCCCTTGGGCCCACACCTCACCAAGCTCCCCGCAGGCGGCCAATACCAGCACCAGCAGTGCCAGCTGCATCCCCAGCATGGTCCCGGCAGCTGGGTCTGTGCTCACCCTGGGCCTGCCCAGAGGGGGCCAGCAGATACCAAGTGTGGTGCCCAGACCGGTTGGTTGAGCAGATTAACGGGCTCCAGTTACCAGGGTGGAGGTGTGGAGACCCCGCCCCAAGCCAAACGGGGCCCCTCCTCACTCTCCCTCCCTGCTCCAGGCTGGTCCACTTCCTCCCTGCCCCTGCCCCTGCCCAACCCCTCCCGCTCTCCCCAGGTCCCTCCAGGATCCCCTTCCCACTTGGAGTCCTCTGCCACCTCCCCTCTGAAACTTTCTGCCTGGGTGTTTCTTCCTCCTCTCTCCATCCAGACAGGGATGGAGGGGCCCTACTCCTGTCTCCCATGTCCCTCTCATGTCCTAGTGGTTCCAGGCTAGAATCTTCCTGGATGGCCTCGGCTCCACTTCCCAGCTCCTTCAAGAGGTCAGGCTGGTGCTTTGCCGGGCTGGGGCCTGAACTGCCACTAGACAACGAGCTGAAAAGTTTGCTCAGAAGCTTAAGGAGACAAACACCAAAAACTGCTGGGTCAGCAGACAAGGTCCTGGAAGGAGGGCAGGGGTGGGTGGGGAGGGGTTGGGGGTCGGGGGGTGGTGGTGGTTAATCTTGTGTCCCCTGGCTTTACTGTTTGGGGACCTTGATTTCTGATAGTCGCCCTCAGCCAGGGCTTGGCTTAGCTAGCTTCCTGGAAGATAAGGAAATTGAGGTGGCATTCTTTGCCTAAGGCTCAGATGGGAGATGGGTGAATTTGGGTCTGGGGGGCTCAGGGCAGGTCTAGCCACAACTCCCCATGCCCATGAACATCCTTCTGAAGTACCTGCTCCAGCCTCCCCAAGGTAGGCCTGGTCTGTGTAGGCCCTTGTCCAAGTCCCACACTACCTGACATTGACAGGGGCCTGGTGTTCCAGGCTGTGGTCTCACTGATGGTGCCCAGACTCACACTGCAGCCCTGGCCATCTTTCCTGAGTCTGCAAATCTCACTTCACTCTCGGACTTTCCTCCTTCTGTCTCCACTGCCAGGGATGCCATTCTCTCTCCCACCGCTCAGTGGTTGGAATTTTGACTCTGAGGTCACCCTCACATGGCCTTTGCATGGTCCTTCGGGTTTGCTGCTGGGTCAGGTCCATTTGGGATCTGGTCTTTGCCCAGTGTGACTGTGATACCCTGTGTTTGCTGGAGCTCTAGGTGAGAGCTGAGGGTGCATGAGTGGGGGTCTTGGAAGCCACCCAGGATCCTCTAGCACCCAGTATGTGTTAGAGACTTAGCCTAATGGTCTTATTTTCCTGACTGCAGCTGTGGAGACACATAGTACTAATCGACTGTAGTTCCAAGAAGCTAATTGACTTAGGCAAGGTTGCCTAGCAAGTGCCAGGTAGGACAACTAGCAGCCCAAGCCTGTCTGATTTTGTATGTCACCACACAGCCACGCTGCCACTAACAGCATGATGGGTGCAGCTAACTGGATTAGACGCCACACCACACACACCCTAGGTTCCTCCTGAGGCCTCACCCAATTCCTCTGCAATGCCCTGGCCCAGATCCTTCTTGTTCTCAAACCCAGGAGTTTCACCTGCACCTTCCACCCGGAAAACATCTGCCTGGCCCCCAGGCCTTCAGCTCCTCCTAGAGTTTCTGCCTGATCCCACCAGGGAAACCCAGAAGGAGCCTATCTTCAAAGTTGCAGCCAATTCCTTGTGTGGGGAGGAATGTACCCAAGCCAGGGTCTGGCTGGCTTTGTCTGGGAGAGCTTTGTTCTGAGAGGCCCACACCCTTCCCTTCTCAGTTCTTCCAGAAACCTCTGGGTCAGGGCTCAGTGTGTGACCAAAGTCAGGGCTCAGTGTCATCAATGTCAGGGCCCAGCATATGACCAGAATCAGGGCTCAGTATGCGATCAGGATTAGGGATAACCTGTGACCAAGATGGACTCAGTGTATGACCAGGATCAGGGCTAAGTGTATGACCATGATCAGGCCTCAGTGTGTGACCAGGATGAGGCAGGGCTTACCTGTAACTAGGGAAGACCTCTGCCACAATACTGCTGCTAAACTGGGGAAGTGTGGGGCTGCCCCTGGAGCTGCTGATCTCAAGAACTTACCCATGAACTGCTGGGAGTCAGAGGTTACCCTACTGCCTCTTTTCTGGGCAAAATGGAACTTTGCTGTGCAACCCCTTCTCCAGGACCTTGCCCAGATCTCTCTCTACAGGTTGGGGTGAACATTTAACTGTGCCACACAGCTGGGAAGAGAGTCCATGTCCTGCTCCCATAGCAGTTTCAGCTGACAACTCAGTAGGTCAGATAGCACCCACCAGGGGATGGGCAGCTCAGGCTCCTGGTCCATGCTGTCCTGTGTCACCCATATCTATTGTCTCATTGCTTCTGTGTGTTAGAACCTGGGTGGCTCCTGGGCAGTGATAGAGTGTGGCTGGGCCATACTCACATCAAGGCCCACCTAGGGAGGATGAGCTGCAAACTGGTGTGGTGCTGGCCAGGTGCTGTGCCTGATGTGTGTTGGAGGGGGCCGTCCTCAGTCTCTTGCTGCGTGGGCCTCTTCAGTGAGGCAGCTGGCTTCCTCAGACCCACAGTGCGTGACATCCTGTTGCTGTGTAACATACCCCCTGACACTCAGTGGCTTAGCTCACGTTCAACACGGCTTAGCACACGTTCAACACAACTCAGTTCTTACCCCGGAGCGGCTGGGCTCTCTGCTCAGGGTCCCACAGGAGGAGGTTAAGGTATGGGCAGGGTCAAGACCCTCGTGGTTGTAGGACTGACGCCACTGCTGGTGCCAGCAGAGGCTGTTCTCTGCTTCAGGGCCACGCCCCTCCCTGTGTGGCCCTCTGCCTGCACATCAGCAGGAGTGCTGGGTCCTTCTCAGGCTTCCGTCTCTGTTCCCTCTTCCCAACATCAGCAGAAACCCCATCCCTGACTGCATCTTGAAGCAGAATTACAGAGGAGCGAGGCCCAAATAGGAGCCCAGGGTGGCAAAGGCCCTGTCACTGTCTCAGCACACAGCCCTGGGGGCACAAACTGGCACTGTCTACAGAACTCTAGACTATCCCCAGAGTTTTGTTGAATGCTCCCTGAACTATCACCCAAAAACCATGGACAGGTCACCTATGCTCCTGGCACTGCTAGGGTCTGAGTCTGACCTGAAGACTCTCCGGGGGGAGCCTCTGAGGGCTGGGCGAGGACCCTGATGTAATAGTGTATAGAATTGAGCCGGGGCTCTGCGTGGCGCTACTGAATGATGACTGCTAAAGACCCCTTAGGAATTCCAGGAGGGTCCTGCAATAATGACAATGATTTGCCACTTTTATCTTCCTAGACGGTCCAGGTAGGTGCAACGTCGTGGCTGTGTGGATGGTGAACCCCATGGGTGGGGGATGGTGCCAGCGCATGGCCCAAGGGTGCAAAGAACACAGACACTCACTGCAGCTTTTCTTCTCATGAAACCGTAGGCAACCTAAATACATGGGAGCACAGAGGTTGGCACCTTAAGGCACGTCCCAGCTGATCCTTCTGGAAGGACACAGGAGGACAGGATGCAGTCACCCCTTTCGAAGGTACAGCTCTGTTGATGTAGGAAGGTTGGACTAAAAGTCATTGGTCTGCTCTGCTTGCAGCCCCTCCGAGTGGACGGGGAAGGTAGGATTCCAGAATGGGACACCCCTCAGCCTTCCTGGGAGTCAGCAGAACCTACCCAGAGGAGGCAGGCTGAGGGTGTGGAAGGGCACAGCAGGCCATGCACAGCCTGAGGTCTCCTGCCCCAAAGCAGAGATACTCACAGCAGAGAATGTGGATGGGCCAGAAGACCAGGGAAAAGCCACAGAGAGTAGGGCTGACAGAGTGCTGCAAACAGGAGAGTGCCCCCGGCTCAGGCAGAGGCACCAGTCTGGGCCCCTCATGGCATCTCACAGAGGTCGGCCAGGGAGGCTCACACATCCATCCCCACTTCCCTCTGGGGCTGCAGGGGCTAGAAAGGGGGAGCTCTGGCTCCCAGGCCCTCTGCAGGCAGGGTGACTTTTGTTTCCTAAAGGGGGAAGGCAGGAATCTGGGTGTTTGGGGACAGCACACAGAGGCGGTCCCTTGCCCCTCTCATGGTGGCCTTGTTGCTCCTGTGCTCCTAGAGGTCAAGTTCGGGTTAGCTGATCTCTGATTCTGAGCATGGTTGAATTCCTGCCCTTCTTCAGGTGCCGCCCCGAGTTTTCTGTGAACAGATTGCTCATTCCTTCGGCTTTGTTAATGGGGTGTTGCCCTTGCCCTTTCCTCAACTAACTGGAAGGATTTTTTTTTTTTAAACAAGGTCTCGCTGTTTCCCAGGCTTGCTTTCTTTATGATAAGGTTTCTCATTTTTTTTTAGATTTGTAAGTACTAATTTATGAATCTTTCTCAATCTGAATTTTGTGCCTTGTTTTTCTTATTTCTTTTAATTTTGAACAGCTTTATTGAATGTACTTTGCATACTACACAATCCACCATTAAAGTTTATAATTCAATGGTTTTTAGTTTATTCACAGACACGTGCAACCATCGCCAATCAGCTTTAGAACATTTTATTATTTCAGGCCAAACCTAGTGGCTCTTGCCTATAATCCTAGCACTCTAGGAGACCAAGGCCAGTGGATTGCTTGAGCTCAGGAGTTCAAGACCAGCCTGAGAAAAAAGCAAGACCCTGTCTCTACTAAAAATAGAAAAACTGAGACAAGAGGATTGCTTTAGCCCAAGAGTTGGTGGTTGCTGTGAGCTTTGATACCACAACACTCTACCCAGGGCTATAGCTTGAGACTGTCTCAGAAAAAAAAAGAAGAAGAAGAAGATTTTATCATTTCAAAAAGGAACCTTGAGCCCTTACACCCCCATCCCTACACCCCTGTGATTCTGAGAGGTGGACGTTTGTTATCCCTTCAGCACAGGCCACATCCAGGGCTTGACTCCACATCTGAAGCACAAACAGTGCTCTGGGACTGAGCCCTGACCTGTGGGGTCTGATGATTCCTCCAGGTCGATACCGTTGGACTTGAGGTGAATTAGGGGACACCCAGCTGAGGTCACTGCAGAGCTGCTGGGTTGCTGGTGGCCAATAGTGCACATGCTTTTGGGTGACCAGTGGTGAAGTGCCTTGAGTGGTGTGAGAGAAGGAAACAACCTCTAGTTTCCTGGTCTCTTGATAATCCCCCTCCACTCCCTGGCTACCAATCCTTCTACTTCCTGTCTCTGCAGAGCTCTCTATTCCCACCATTTCACATAAATACAAGGTCTGACAATTAAGTTCTTGAACTTGCCACCCTGCGCTTGCATTGGCAGCACTGTACAAACAGCTCAGTAAGGTTTCAAGCCTTGGCGTATCGGTGTCTTACAGTTGTGTTTGTGTCCACATGTGGCAATGTCTTGCTAAGCGGCCTTTGCTATTGTTGTGTGTTTTTCTGTGCTGTCCAGGAATGTCAGAGCTTGAATTAGAGCAACAAACATACATTAAATTTCTTGTTAAACTTGGCAAGAGTGGGAGTGAAATCAGGCACATGTTAGTCCAACTTCAAAGGGATAATGCCATGAAGAAAATAGCAGTGTACAAATGGATTAAATGTTTTTCTGTGGGGAGAGAAAGCCTCACTGATGAAGAGAGGTCAGGGTGGCCAGTAATGAACAGAACTGATGAACACATTGCAAAAATTAGAATTGTGTATCAAAATCATCAGCTGACTGTGAGAAGCATAGCAGACCAAGTAACATTGATAGAGAAATGGGAAAATCTTAACTGAAAATCTTGGCATGAGAACGATGTGTGAAAAAATGGTCCCAAGGTCCTCACTGATGAGCAAAAGGAAAGGAGAGTTGAAGTTTGCCAAGACCTTTGGAGAGGGAAGACGACGCTTTAGGCCATGTTATCACTGGTGATGAAACATAGCTGTACCAATACAAACCTGAAACAAAGAGTCAAAGTGCAAATGGAAGTCAGCCAATTCTGCATGCCCCCAAAGTTCTGTCAGTCCAGATCTAGAGTCACAATGTCACTAACCTTTTTTGATATCAGAGGAATTATTCATTATGAGTTTGTAATAGCTGGACAGTTAACTTAGTTCGTTATTTAAATTGCCCAAAAATCTGACTGAAAAAGACAAAAACAACTTGAACTTTTTGCCAACAACTCAAGGCTCTTGCATCACGACCATGCACCAGCTTACATGGCACTGTCCATGAGGGAGATTTTAGCCAGTAAACAAATAACTGCATTGGAGCACCCTCCCTACTCATCTGGTCTGGTCTCCAATGACTTTTTTTCTTTACTCACAGATAAAGGAAATGTTGAAAGGAAGACATTTTGACGACATTAAGGACATCAAGGGTAATATGACAATAGGTCTGATGGTCATTCCAGAAAACGAGTTCCAAAATTGCTTTCAAGGGTGGAGTAGGTGCTGGTGTTTGTACATGGCTTCCCAAGGGAAATTCTTTGAAGGTGACTATAATAATACTTATCCAGGAGCTGTGCAGCACTTTTTCTAGGATGAGTTTGCTAACTTAATTGTCAGACCTCATAGAATCATAGAATTTGTGGTTTTTAGTGACTGGCTTCTTTCACATAGTATGATGTTTTCAAGGTTCATCTGTGTTTTGGCATGGATCAGTACTTTATTCCTTTATATAATGGAACAACAGTTCGTGGCATAGATACATCACATATTGTTTATCCATCCACTGGTTGATGGGCATTTGGATTTTTTTCTGCTTTGGGGTTCTGTGAATAATGCTGGATGAACATTCATGAACCAGGGTTTCTGTGGACACGTTTCTGCTTCTCTTGGGAGCGGTAATTCTGTTTCTAATTCTCTGAGGAATGTGTCTGGCTTTTCTATTCTGAATTGTCTAACATTTTAAAAATCTCTCTTTTATTTTTTTACTTTTTGACACAGTCTCTGTTGCCCAGGCTTGAGTGCAGTGACATGATCATAGCTCATGGAGCCTCAAACTCAAGCCTTCCTCTCACCTCAACCTCCTCCTCAGTAGTGGGGACTACAGGTACCTGCCACTGTGCCCGGCTAATTTTTCTTTTCTTTCTTTCTTTTTTTTTTTTTTTTCCCTGCAGAAATGGGATCTTTCTGTGTTGCTGGTCTGAAACAAACTTCTAGCCTCAAGTGATCCTCCTGCCTCAACCCTCCCAAAATGCTAGAATTACAGGTGTGAACCCTTTTCTTTTAACATTTAATCCTTGGATTCCACTGGACAGCCTTTTGATATAACCAGAGAGTCAGGACCCAACCAGGCAGCTACGTGTCGTCCTGTGCTCCACCCTTCCCTGCATGATCTGAAAACCCACTGCTAGCACATTCTAAATTTTCTCTTGTGTGTGAGAGTATGTATGTATAAATTCTCTCTCTCTCCAACATGTCCTTCCCATCTCTCTTGCTCTGCCTGGGACCACCCTGATGGGATCCTTGTTGGTTCACTTTATGTTAGGTCACTCTCCTCTGGGACATTCCCCCTGCCTGGCCATGCAGCTTTACAATTGCTTTGGTTTTTTCATGTGTTTATTTTTCATGATAACACTGCCAAGGGGAGAACAGAAAGGCTAAGGAGAGGGCCTGGTGGTGCATTTCTTGATAGGTGTTAATTTGGGAAGGAATTGTACACCCTAGTTGTTGACTTGCCTCAATGTCTCTGAAACTTTGGGACGGGGTCCATCAGCTCACTTTACTCCTGTGGGCCCCCCCCGCCATGAATGATCACAGCTGTCAATCCTATTCACCCAACTCTCAGATACACACTCCCCAGCACCACACCTGGCACCCTCAGGAGCTGGAGGGAGTGTCCCCTGCCAGGGTGGGGGCTTCTTAGAGAGGGGCACGTAGGGCTTGGGTGGGCATACAAGGATCCCAGGGAAATAAGTAAGTTGAGCCAAACAAAGGTGGTGGGGCTAGCATGGGAGGAACGGACAGGGGGCTTCCAGGAGAGACCCCAGGCCAAGGGGTGGCAGGTCTTCCCATGGGCAACCGACCAAGGGCTGGATATGTGTGTGCACGTGCACCTGTGAGTGAGGGGAGACAGTCCATGCCTTCCACCCTTTACTCTCCCCGGGCAGGGAAGGCCTCTGCAACTCCAGTGCTGCAGGACAACCTTCCTCCTCCACCCCTGCACACCCTCCATGTTTCAGCCTGGATGGCCTTTCTCTGAGGCTTCTTGACTCCCATTCTAGGTGGGGAGGGGCCTCCTCATGTGCCCCTGCTGCTCCCTGCTTCCGCTCCCAGAGGCAGGAAGGCCTTCAATGGATGAGTCAATGGATGAGAGTAGGTGGGGGAAGCTGCAGAGGCCACCTGGGGTAAGAGGCCAGTCCCCCCTCCCTCCTATAGGGGCCCAGGACAAATGCTCCACTCTCACCAGACAGCTCCGCCAGTGACCTGGCCTTGTTTTATTAAGGGGCAGGACTTGGGAGTGCACACAGGGAGGCCCCCAAGTGCATTTAGGCAACTGGTCATGCAGGGCTTCCTGAGGAAGAATGGTGCTGAGGTGGCATGGAAGCTGCCAGGCTGGGCTGGAGGCAGGAGGGGCAGCCTGGGGCAGGAGAGGGAGGGTGGTCAATCCTGGTTGCAGAGGCTGGCCTGGCAGCAGACGATGGACACGTTGGGGCCCAGACCCAGGCTTTCGATGGTAGGGCAGCCTCTCTGGCACCTCTTGGTGACTAGAGGCAGGTTATTGAAGCTGATGAGGTCCCCTGGGGTGGGCAGAGAGAAGCCTTGGAGCTCCTCACAACTCCAGACCACCCAGGCCCCTCAACCCACCCTCTACCCAAGTACATCAGGTTGTGTGGCCCCTCCCTATGGCCCTCCCTGGGCTGGCACATGTGGATACCCCCCTGCTCTGCTCCTGACTCATAGGCTGCTCCCTACTTGCAGGATGCCTGCATGAGATGGTGTCCCCTCTGAGCCCAGATCTTCTAACCTGGGCAAGAATGGTGGCCCTCTCCCCCACTCACGGGTGGCGACAGTAACGCAGTGGGTGGAATCCCCCCGGCATCTGGACTTGTGGGAGCATCCCCCGAAGCCCTTGCAATGGTGGCACCACATGGCTTGGGCTGAAGCTGCAGGCAGAGAGACAGATGGCCACAAACCGGGGAAGGTGATGGCACCCATCCAGTCCCTACCCCATTCCCACTTCTGTGATCAGGTCCCCCAGGAGCTGCAGCTCCCATCCTTCCTCTGGGGGTACCTGGCCCTTCCAGACCCAAGAGCAGGAGTAGGGAAAGGTCACCAAGCCTCATCCAAGGCCAGGCTGTCATGGGGGGAGCCATTTACTGCAGAGCACAGGTGGCCACGCAGAGGCTAGAGGGCTACAGTCCCACAGATGGGGGCTAGCACTGTGGCAGCGGTCAGCTCTTTGCTTCCTCTGCTCAGCCAGGAGCCTTGGGTAGGGTGTGGGTTGGGGTAGGGGAAGCCCTGGCTGTGGTGTGACCTTCTAGGGTACAGGAACCTGAGCTTTGAGGTAAGCTTGGGGCAGAGCTGGGGCGACTCCGAGCTGTGCTCTTTGGCCATGCACACTTTTGCTTCCAGGGATCAAAGCAGGACCCATTAGACCCACCAGGGCCTCCGCTTGCTCTTGTGGCGGAAATGTGGAGACCTTGCCCACCTCTGTAGGGGGCCCAGTGCAAAGACAACCGGACACAGAACTGTCAAACAGACAGGAAGCTCTGTTTTGCGTTTTCCTATGAGGACAGCCTCCTTGCTTTTGAGACACTAAGTTCATGCCCCTAATGCCTTTGCTGGGTCTGTCCATCCATTGGTCTTGGCCTCTCCTGGCCAGCTGCCCTCCCAACTTTGTCTCCATCTCACGGCCTCCCAAAGTCCTCTTCCCTTGCTCTATTCACACACTCAGGGCTCAACACTGGGGCTCAAGGCCGGCCCTCTGCCCACGCAAGGCTGCTGATCAGCAGGGATGGTGGCATGAGCTGTCACGACTGTGCTGACTCGCCTCCCTGGCAGGCCCTTGCTATGACGGGGGACTGGATTTTTCCCTGATCAGTGCCAGTTCCAAAGCCAGGTGCTTGTGGACAACACAATTCATGCCAGAGCTGAGCTGACCTCAGGTCTTTCCATCCCTCCTGAGCCTCTTGGTGGACCCTTGGGCCTGTGGCAGAATCCACCACGGAGCAGGTGACAGAGGCAGAAAGTCCTGACCATGGTGATTCCCCCACCATCAACCCCTTCTCCTCTACCAGCTGCACAGATCTGGCTGAGACCCTCACCTGTGAACAAGAAAGGTACAATGGCTGCCACCAAGCCACAAAGCCCATATGCCTTTCTCCACCATAAGGGACAGACAGTGGTGTCTGTGCCCTGAGGATGCCACTGGGAGAGAGTTCCTGCCTCTCACCCACTTCTCAGGCTCATCCTCCTGAGGGTCTCCCTGGCTTTGCACATGCTGCCCCTTCTGCTGTCCAGGCAAAAAAGCCCCAGCTTAAGGGCAGCACCTGTGGCTCAAAGGGGTAGGGCACCAGACCCACATGCCAGAGGTGGCAGGTTCAAACCCAGCCCCAGTCAAAAACTGCGGGGGGGGGGGAGGTGCAGGGGGAGGGTAAAGCCCCAGCTCAAATGCCACCTCTTCCCAGATGTCCTCCTGGGTTTCTAGGGCAGAGTTAATGGCTCCTCCTGGGAGCTGCCTCATTCTGCCCCCATCTGGGATCAGTGTCTCTACCCCAGGTGACTGTGCTCAGTGGTCCCTCTCCAGCCCCGCAACCTGGACATGAAGGCCTCCACTGACTCCTTGGCAGCCTCCCAAGACTTGGCATGGCACTGCCTGCTCCCCTATGCCCCCAGGCAATGAGGCCAAGGAGGGGCTGGTAGAATGAATGAATGAACAAAAGAGTGAATGAATTTCAGGAGGGGGGCCGGGTTATCAAGGAAAAGAATTATTCTGCTCCTTACTAAGGGTTTTGCATTTTCAGCCAGGCTGGGGAGAAAGGCAGAGAAAGTTTTAGCCCCAAGCAAGAAACTGCTGTGAGAGTTTGGGGACACTAGTTGGGCCTTGTGTTCAGAGCTCTGGAGAAAGAGGGGAAGGATGAGGGAAGGGGTGGACAAATGGGTGGGTGTGGGCTCTGCGTGCAGCAGACCAGGTTGGGGTCCAGACGAGGCTTGCTCTCTCTGCAGCCAGTGGGCATGGTGGTTGGTGGCGTGAGGCCAGCCTGGGGATGGAAGATGGTAATGCCTGAGGGTGGCAGATAGCAGGCACTCAGCCACGAGGTGAATGCCCTGAAGGAGGCTCTCAGGATGTGACCCCCCTGCTATAACTACAAGGGCAATGGCCAAGTGTGGGCAGGCTGGCATTCAGCACAGAGAGGGGCTCAAGTACCCTCTTGTGTGGAGAAGGGTCTCTGGGTCAGGCAGGAGTCAGTGGGCCCCCTCTAGCACCCAGGCTACCCTGTGACGCACAAGTTACATGGGGGGGGGGATGACTGATGGCCAGCCACTCCCTCTGGAACTCCCAAACCCCTTGTGCCCCAGCCCTGACAAAGGGTCTCCCCACATTGAGCTGAGTCACCTAAGTACCTCTAAAACTCTCAGCCCTTCAGGATGGGGGAGAAGGGGACAGTCCTCAGGGTTGGGCAGGGGTTCAGCCTCTTGAAGGACAGAGCCTGACAGGGCCCAGGTAGCAGTGTCCTTGGAATGGAGACTGGACAGATCCAAGAGACTCCTGACAAAGGGAGCCCGGCTCCTGGAGTCAGAGGCTGAACCAGGTTGTCACACACACAGATACCAGGGGAGGGCCTGAGAGCTGGGGAGGGGAGCTGCCAGGCCAAGGAAACGTCAGGCGTGTGTGTGTGGGGGCGGGGGGGCGGCGGTTGCAATCCTGAGATGAGCTAGAAGGTAGGCAGGACCTGGGCCAAAGTGCCCCAGCCAGGGACATGGGCCCAGCGACAGCCAAATGGTTGCTGTGAGATGAGGCTGCAGGGATGGAGTGGATGAGATTGCCAAGGAAGCAGGTAGCAGGAAGAGAAGAGGGCCCAGGCAGGGGCAGAGGGTGGCCAGGAGATGAGCAGCTAGCAGTGGGCATCAGACCAAAGAAGGCCAGAGGAGGGCAGGGTGGTCAAATGCAGTGTGTGTATATGGGAGAACACATGTGCATGTGTGTGCTCACGCCTGTTTGTGGCTTGAGGGGGTCACTGTGGAGCTAGAGAGGCCTAGGGGAGGGGGAGGAAAAAGAGAGGGGGCAGAGCCCTGAGAAGTGTAGGGCTGAGCTGGGTGGGCCACTGTGCACATGTGTGGTTTAGGAGGAGGGTTGTGACTGGCAGCTGAGGGACAAAGTGGACAGTCTCAGCCAGGGCTGGTGTGACCCAGACAGAGAGTGGCAGAGGGCATGGGAAGACCAGGCCAGTAGTGCCCCAACCCCTGCACTCACCCAGCTGCAGGCTCAAGAGGATGGCCAACAGGAACCCAGCATGGAACTGCATGTTCTCTGGTGAGGACGGGCTCTTTGGTGCCCAGGCTGGCCGCCTTATACTCGCCTGCACCACACCCTGGCTCTCGCCCACTCCTGGAGTCTGTAAGTCTGAGTCACCAGGCAGCCCGCCTCAGCAAAGTGCTGGGCAATTCTGGGACCAACCTGGTCCCAAAGCTGGCTAGTTGGGTGCCCTGGGGTAAGCCCTAATTCTGGGAAACTTTTCTTGTCCACAATTAGGGATAATCCTAGTTATTGGATTGAGGATCCCATAAAACCATCTAGCAATGAGTAGTCACTCAAGAGTATGGGCTGCTCTCCTTTGGTGGCCTGGAATGAGATGCTGGCACAGGCCTCCAGATAAGTCTTTCCCTTTATAATGAAGACAGAGCTTCCGGCTGAGTGGAAACAAGGGGTCTTCATCAACACTCAAGCCCTGGAGGGGATCTAGATGCCCAAGTCTCCAGAGAGACCAGAATGTCCTGCCTGGCCATTGCACCTCAAGTCTCATCCTGTCCCAGGACTGGGACTGTAAAGCATGGCTGGGAGCAGCCTCTCATGGAAGTCCCAAGGGCCCCATGATTGTCACCAAGGGTCTCAGGGTCTGTGTGGGAGGCAGGTGACAGGCCAGAGAAACACCAGGAACTACCCGCTATTCTGTTGAAAGCTTGTAGGGCCAGGTTGGAGTGGTGGGCAGAGCACAGTCCTACCTCCCTCACCTAGGACAAGACCCTTGGCCACGCAGGTCCCAAGATTGTCACCAAGGGTCTCAGGGTCTGTGTGGGAGGCAGGTGACAGGCCAGAGAAACACCCTGGAGAGCAGGAACCACCTGCTATTCTGTTGAAAGCTGGTAGGGCCAGGTTGGAGTGGTGGGCAGAGCACGGTCCTGCCTCCCTCACCTAGGCCAAGACCCTTGACCATGCAGGGGCTGGTGTGCCCTAGCTCTGCCTCTCCCCTGTCCCCGAGAATCCTACCAGCCTCCTTCCCTACACCTGGGCTGGCTCTGTGGTCAAGCCAGGCCCAGAGGAGATGGGAAGCACCCAAGACCTGGATGTGGTAGAGTAGACAGGAGTATAGGACCCACAGAGCCAGGAAAGCTCTGCAGAGAAGGGCAGACACACGTTTCCATCCCTTTATTCTCTGAGTGGGAAACTGACGGGGCCACTCCTGTTGCTAGACAGTGAGCATGGTGGGAATCAGAGACTGAAGGTGGAATTCCAAGTCTTGCTCAGGATTAGGGCTCAGGTGAGCACTAGCACAGGAGCAGGGCCCTGGGAAACACCCAGATCCCAGAAAGCTGGATAGGAAGTAAAGGATATCAACCATCAGGGGCCTCCCCCTGTCCAGAACCTGAGCTGGCCCCTTACATCCACAACAAGCTGGGCGGGGGACTATTGTTCCCATCTCCTCCATGAGGCTACTGAGGCCTGGAGACATGGTGCATGAGCTCTGGGACCAGACAAAGTGCACCCAGGCATGTTGGAGGGTGGAGAGTGCTTGGTTTTCTTTTACCTTTTCCAAGGATTGAGAATTATAAATAGAAGAATGTTCTCTGCAACAAATCAGACACTAGGAAGGGGTGGGGGATAAAGCAGCAGCTGGCCTCCTGGGCCCTCTCCACGTCCAGCCCTGAGGTTGGCACCAGCGCCCCGCACTCGCACCTCTCTTGGGCCTGCTCTGCCCGAGGTGACAGACCTGCTGCTCTGGAGCCTTTTGCTGTAGATGGCAACCTGGCTGTGTCTCCAGGTCCCTGCTGTAGTCTGGCTTCTTCTTAGGCACACATCACATTCCATGGGGAACACGTGACACTCCAGTGTGCCATGGTTTGTTACAGCAGCCACTTCTGAGATGCCTAGGCTGCTGGCAGCCAGTGGGCTCCAGAGAGAGCAGGAGCAAACAGCCCAAGCACCTGTCCATGTGGCCAGGTCCTCAAAGCAGGACACTGGTGGGGTAGAGGCCTCACACCTCTCCAGCCTGTCAACCCTCCACACGCCCAAAGCTGGATGGACACCCTGACTCTGCCCTCAGAGGTCCCAGCTCTTCTCTCAGCTTCCCAGATCTAAGCTCCCACAGTCTCTTACCACCTGCCCTTCTCTAGGCCCTGACAATAGTCACAACAAGTGTACTGGTTTGGTTTCTGCTGGCACTGCCATTCCAGTACCCTGACTATAAAGCCACGTACCTCCCCTTTCTCAGCCTGGCCAAGCATTAGTTGTGTACGTTTTGTGTGCTCTGGGCTGGGCACCCAGGGCAGGCCAGACAGGCAGAACCCTGTCTGAGGGAGGAGGGAGTATGGGCAGTGGCTTTGTCCAGGGGGATAAGGACAGTGATGTTAGCACTGGGTTAGGACCCAGTTGGGATTGGGGAGAGGTAGGCTGACAGATGCAGGAGGCAGGTGTGAGAAGCACCCCCAGCTCCCGTAGGGCCTTATTTTCAGCCATCCTTGAGCCCACAGGTAACCAGCCTTCCTCCCATCACCCTATAGATGAGAGGGATGGAGGGAGGACCCAATCCTAGGGCCCCTCCCAGCTCTGGCTGAGGGCACCACCTGAGTCAGGACCATGGCCTTGCACAAGCCTTGTAATGACCGAATTCTGGGCCTCTCCCTCTTAGTCAGGAGCCATCTGGGGCTGGAGGGCCCCAGCAGCCCTCCCTCCCAGCCAGCACTGAGGCCTGTGTGGGCTGTGGCTGAAATGGCCTCATCTGGTGACTGCCCTCAGGTTGATCACTTGCTGCTGGGGAGGGGGGGGACCTGTGGGAACTCTGAGGTGGCACCTGACTCCCTCCTAACCTTCCCCAGGAAGGGGTTCACACCTGACTGCCCAGGGCAAGGGCCCAGCCTACTCTCTGGGCTCAACCCTAGACCCACAGTCACTGGAGTCGAGGACCCCCTGCACTCCTTCCCACCCAAGTCCACTCTGCCAGAGACCCATACTGTCCTTGCTGGTAAGGAGTGAGTGGGCTGTCCCCTTCTCCTTCAGCATCCTGTGCCCCAGGAGGAAACTGAGGCCATAAAATTGCCCCAGCCCAGGAGCAGACCCAGGCTTATGTGAGGACCCCTGCCACCTGTCCCCAGTCCCTCCAAGAGGAGCCCCTGGGGCTGGAAACCCTCATCAACCAAGTGGGCCCTGGAGCAGAGCTCTCCAGATGCAGTTGCAGCACGGGCTGCCTGACAGGGCTATACCTGGGACAGGAACAAACCCAGCACTTGGGCACTTGCCACCCAGGCTGGGCTAGCTAAGGAGACTCCTCTGTGGACATAAGGGGAGGGGGACCCAGGTGCTGCAATGACAACTCAAGCCCATCCTGCCTCTCTTGAAGTAGGGTGGGTGCTTCCTGGGCAACCCCATGCAGGATGGTGGACAGCAGCATACCTGTGCCTCCCAGACCTGGGGTGGGGTACCAGAGTCCCAACAGCCAGAGCCCATGGTAGAGCTCCAGCTCTCCTGGTGGACAGACTTAGTCCTGGGTAGAGTGGAAGGGCTGAGCAGGGTCTCATCCCAAACAGCCCAAAGGACACCACACTCTGACCTCTTCGAGCCTGCATGTGAGCTGCCCAAACCACTGAGGCTAAGGACCAGGCCCTGGAGGCCCACTGCCCTGCCCAGCTCCTCCCTGCCTGGAATAGTCCTGGCCCTGGGCAGCACTCAGGACCCACCAAATATAGCACGGCTACAACTCCTGCATCCCTGCCAGCCTCAGGCCTTGTGCCCAGTAGGGGTGGGAAGGAGGACAGAAAGGTCAGGGGTGTGAGTGAGCTAGAGGGTGCTGACCCCTTCCTTTGCCAAAGGCTGCTCCCACACTGAGCCTGGCACAAGTTCCTAGGACAGAGAATGGGGGCAAAGGCCTTCCTCACCTGGCCCTGCATCTCACACCTGTTCTGGGCAGCTGCTGGCCTCAGCAGGAAGCAGACAGACTTTCCTAGGCCTAGCAGAACCCTTCCTCCTAGGACTGCCCCCAGAGGGCTGCCCAGAGGAAGGGGTTTGGCCATAACTTCGATAGAATCAGCATTCCTGGGCTGGCTGACCACCCTTCCTATACACAGAAGTGTTCCAGAGACTTCTAGCCTTGGATGGAGGGGGGGCTGAGTTCACTCACCAGTGCCTGACACCTCTTGGGGGGTCTGGTCCCACTTATCAGCATTTTGAAAATGAAAGTTGAGGTTGCCAACTGAGGTCCTCTGGGTGGTCAGGGGAGGTCAGAGTCTTCCTGCTGACAGTCCTGGGCCCTGAGGGGGGAGGCTGAGGGGGTCTCAGGGAAAGCAGGAAGTTGGGTGGGGTGTGCAGGGTGAGAGGGTACAGTCATGTCTCTCAAAAGCTTTGTTATTGAGAGGGTCTGCCTGGGGGTCCAGGGCTTAGAGCAAATCCCAGAGAGTGGCCAGGAGTATGGGGCCCAAGGCCAGGCCCCCTAGGGTGGCGAAGCTGGCCCCATTACAGAGGTAATACTGGCAGCAGGCGGTGGTGGACGCATGCTTGGAGTAGCCATCGTACACAGTCTCGAAGCATCTGGGCACGCACGACTTGCTCACCTTCATCTTGGTAGGGGTGTAGTCTGCAGGGGGTGGGCAGACCAGCCAGTACCTCTGAGAGGGGTGGGACCTCCCAGTCGGCCCAACCCCAGTGTGTAGGCCCATCAGGACAGGTCCTCCGCAGCTAGGAGCTTCTTCCCCAGGCCCTCCACATACTTAGGGACCAGCAGGGCCTCCCTCCTGATCCCAAGCAGGACTGGGGTGCCCCAGACTCACAAGTTCGCGTGGTCATGCAGTAGGTGGCCATAGCTGGGCAACGCATGGGGTTGAAGCAGTTGTCTCCATTGTAGGCACACACATGGCACTCCAGGGCCTGGGCTGGGACCAAGAGGTGGGCAGCAGGGGTGTGGTGGGTCACAGAACATAGCAGAGCCCCTCTCTATCCCTCCAGCCCTCCAGCCCATCATAGTTCTTCCTAGGGCAGAATGGCTAGAAGGAGAAGTGGCCAGAGGGAATTCTGGCCTCCTTCCCCACTGCCGGCCTGCCTGCTCCAAATGTAGGTCTGTCTAGCCCTCTGTCCTGGGTCCATCTTACCCAGAGGTAGGCCCACCAGGGCCACCAGGAACAGAGTGAGCAGGAGCGCCATGGCTGTAGGTGAGAGAGCAGTGTGGGAGCCAGGTGGAGGCAGCAGCTGGTCCCAGGTCACAGAGGAGGTTGGACAGGCCCTGTCCTCCTACACAGAGCTGCTTGTCTGCTGTGGGTGCTACAGCCCTGCATAGAAGGCGACAGAGACAAGCGGTCTGTGCTGGGCCACAGGAGGCCGGGGACAGGAGGCCAGGTGGGCTGAGAAGCCACCTAACTCAGTGTCAGGGAAGGCTTCCTGGAGGAGGGGAGACTTCAGAGGGGTCACGGGTATTTCAACCTCCCTTCTCAGAAGGGAGCCTGACAGGGTCCCAGAGAGCCCCTACCGGGAAGAGGATGAGGAGCAGGGCTAGAGAAAGGCAGGAGCTGGCAGCCTCAAGGGGACACATGGGTGACCTTGAATGCCAGCCCAGGGGATGGCTGGTGGGGGGGAGGGCTGTAGGAGCCTGACAGACAGCCCCCTCCCCAGGCAGGCTCCTGGGTGCTGGGTGTCTGGCCAGGGCAGGATTGGCCCAAGACCTGGGTCTCTTCTCACTGCTCGTCTTCCCCTCACCTCTCAGGTGGTTCCTGTCTGGAGCTCTTGGGTCTGAGTCCCGACCACTGCGGGAGTTCCCCCAGCAGCAAGGAGCTGAGTCCAGCGGGTGGGGAAAGGCTTTGAACGCTGCCGGGTAAGACCGGAGGAACTGCCCAGTCTGGGTCTCCTCTAGGACGCAGGTGCCACTCTCTGGGAAGGGCCTGGGCGGTCAGGGATCTGGACTACGACGCCTCTCCCCCAGCAGGAAACTCGGGTCCCGACTCCCACCCTAGGGGACTAATTAGACTTCCCTTTCCCGAGAACAACAGATCCTCTGTGACCCTGTTCCTGAGCACCAACCTCAAGATGTTGAAGGCCTGGGTCAGGCCGGCCTGCGACTCCGGAGCCTCCCGCCCTCCCTCTGGGAGCCCCGCCCCAAAGACTGCGGTCCTGGGCGAAGGGCTCTCGACGCAAGCCCAGAGTCGCGGTTACCTCGCCAGTGACCTTCACCACCCTGAGGCCCCTACGCCTGGAGCTCACCGGTGGCCGCTCTCCGGTCCCTCCCTCTGTCTAACTTCGCGTGGGTCGGTGAACCCGGCAGCGCCGTCTCAGCCAGCTCCCTGCAGACCCTCTGGGCAGGCCCCGGCCCGCGGCCCCGCGCGCTCCCCGCAGGCCCCGCCCCGGCCCGCCCACCCGCCTAGGATCGTGGGCAGCGCTCGGGTGAGGAGTCTGGACCCCGCGCGCAGGCAGCCCCACGGTGATACTCTTGAGACCCTCAGACACACATGCTCCTCCTGAACGAGTAACGGGCAATCTCCATCAGGTCGTGCTGCAAAATCCTCTGGTCCCCAATGGCAGCACTTGGCCCGCCCCGCCCTGTCACGTGGTTTAGCCACCCCGCCCCCAGGCCCCGGCGCGGCCACTGGTTCCTCTGGGGGTCCGGGGGGGCACTGAGCATCCCCGGACGGAGCTGGGCACCCTTTGCGTCCCACCTGGCAAAGCAAACCCTGACAGCCTCCCTCTGTTTCGGGCCCCTCTCCCACCATCGTAGTGGCAATATGAAATAATTACATTTATATAACTTTAAACACCTCAGTTTTTGCTCTGTTTTAGACAAAATTTAATAGAATCTCATGGACTCTAAAATGTTCCTTTTTTTTAATGTGGAAAAAAAACCCCAAACATTTTCTTCAACCTTAAAAGCTATTCTTTTTCTTTTTTTAAAGCTATTCTTTTTTTAAAGACATGAAACTTCTAGGGGTCCAATGGCCTATGGCTTACTGACACGTCTCTTCTAAGATGAAGGATAAGTTGTTGCATCTGGACCCTCTTACAGTCAAGAAAAGGTACAACGTAAGTGGGCCAATCTACATTTTGGAGGTAACACATTCCTTTTTGGGGTGTGCTTCTCCAGCTCATTTACCAAGGGACCCAAACAACTCAGAACTAATAAATTAATTTACTAAAGTTGAAATTAAAAAAAAAGACATGAAACATTTTTGTGGGCCCAAGACCCAAAGTCCTTGCACCTACTGAGTGGGCTGTGGTTCAGGAACCCCTCTGTCTGGACAGGAGGTTACTCTCTCTGCCAGGTGGTACACATGTGGGTGTGTCAGGGGCTGGAGTACAGCATCAGGCAGAGCTGACAGAGGTCCCCAAGTATTCCCAACCCTTGGAGCTCACAATCTATTGCTGGGTGGGAGTGGGGCATAAAATAAACACCTAGGTCAAAACTTGGAGTTGACGGTGTCCTAATCCTCAGTTTCCACTTGGGTTCCCCATAGCTGGTCCAAGCAAGAGATTGGGGAGGAGAAAATTCTTTTACGTAATTTTGAGTTTTGTTCCAGGATGCACCAAACAATACAAAATTCATTCAATTAAGTACCTCCTATAATTACACACCACCCTGCATGCAAAGAAGCAGAAAAATGTGACCCACAAACTGTTCTTAGAAACAAACCAGAAATGACACAGATCAAGTGTTAATAAGCAAGTATTAAATTATTAAAATGAATATTGTGAGTATATTTGTGTGTTCAAGAAGGTAGAATAGAGCATGAAAATGTGGGGGGCATAAGAGACTTTTAAAAACACAAATCAGACTTTTTTTTTTGAGACAGAGTTTTACTCTGTCACTCTAGGTAGAGAGCCATGGTGTCATAGCTCACAGCAATCTCAAACTCTTGGACTTGTGCAATCCTCTTGCCTCAGCTTCCTGAGTAGCTGGGACTACAGGCTTGTGCCACTATTCCAAGATAGTTTTTTTCTATTTTTAGTAGATAGTTTTTTTCTATTTTTAGTAGAGATGGGGTCTTACTCTTGCTCAGGCTGGTCTTGAACTCCTGAGCTCAGGCAATCCATTCTCCTTGGCCTCCCAGATGTCAGGATTCCAGGCATGACCCACTGCACACGATCAAATCAGACTTCTGAAAATGAAAAGTAGGGGCCAACTGTGCTGTCTCATGCCTTTTTAATACCTAGCACTCTGGGAGACTGAGGAGGATGGATTGCCTGAGCTCAGGAGTTCAAAACCAGCCTGAGCAAGAGTAAGACACTATCTCTACTAAAAAAAAAAAAAAAAAAAAAAAAGAAAGTAGAAAAACTAGCCAGTCATGATGGGGGCACCTGTAGCCCTGGCTATTCCAGAGGCAGAGGCAAGAGGATCACTTATAGCCCAGAGAGAACCACATGCCTGTTCCTCAGGTTGCTGTAAGCTAGGATGATGCCACAGCACTCTACCCAGGATGATAGTAAGATTCTGTCTAAAAAAATTTTTTTTAAAAAGATGAAAAATGGATTTGAGAGGGAAAATGTACTGGGTGTGATTAACAATATAGAGTAGGGAAGACAGATTAGTGAACTTGAGGACACAGCATTAGAAATTACTAAAACATATCACAGAAGAAGAAAGATTGAATGAAAGAGCATCAAGGGGCTATGGGACCACTTGAAGTGGCCTGCTAGGTGTCATTTTTGTTTCAGAAGGGGAGGAGAGGATGAAAGGAAAAAAAAATATGCAGAGAAATAATGGCCAAAATGTTTCCATTTTGATGCAAATTGCAAGCCCATGGGACCCAGAAACTCAATGAACCCCTAAGCACTAGAAATATGAAAAATGCCACATCAAAACACATCATAAGTAAATTGCATTAAACCAGTGACAGAGAAATTTCAAAACAGACTTTACATACAGAACATAAAAGACAACGATGGCAACAGAGCTCTTATCAGAAACAATGCATGCAAACACAAGGAAGCAGTATTTGAAATATGAAACACCAAAAACAACAACAACAAAACACACCTTTCAAGTTGGAATTATATGCCCAGAAAAAATAAAGGTGAAATAGAGAATTTTCAGATATGCAAAGGCAGAAATGGTACAGCAGCAGCAGCAAACTGGCTCTGGAGGATCCCTCTGACCAGTCAAATAATGCTCTTTCCCTCTGGTGGCCGTGAAGAGAACACATTTGAAGTTTGGAGAGGGCGGAGGAGGACCTGGCCTCCCTTCTCAGAAGGCACCATCTGTGGCTTTTGCAGAATCTCCCTGAAAAGCAGCCATTTGTCCGGAAACTGTGCAGTGACTGATTTTAGCGTTTTTTTTTAGGGCATAGAGAAAACTTTGTCTCAGGGTGCTGGATGGGCCAGAGAGGCAGCTGTGCACCATGACTAGGGCGACCAGACGTCCTGCTTTTGGCGGAACAGTTCTGAGTTTTAACGATTTGTCCCACACCCTGTGGTGTTTTAAAAAAGTCCTGATTTTTGGAAAGAATGCACTAATGGGTGGGAGAACAGTAAGGGAATATATGGTTTTTGGCTGCCATGTGGCTATTTTGCCAGGATATGAGTTTTATATTATTTTTGTTAATTTTATAATGTTAAACTGTAATAATAACAAACAATTGTTGAGACGTGATTATGGAGAACTGCTTATCAGAGTTTGCATTGTTGTCAGCACCCCTCCCCTCACCGGTCAATGGTGTCCTGCTTTACCAATGTTAAAATCTGGTCACCTTAACCATGATGGGTTAGAGCCCCAGCCCTGGGGCCCTACCCTACACTGTTACTTGTGGCAGTGCAAGGTAAGGCTCTGGGTTTGGCCTCCAGCAGGGGGAGCCCTTCCTCCAGGGGCCAGCCTCACTCACTCTGATGAGGGTAGCCAGAGAGAACCACACACCTGTTCCTCATAGACTCTGGCCTGGGGCTATTGCCTGAGGCAGTCTTGGCTAGGGTTGGGGTGGGGACAGGGTGGGGATAGGGCAGTTGATGGGGCTATTCGGCTGGGTCTCAGAGTCAGCAAGCAGCTGGGAGTCTAGGATGGGGACCTTCGGAGGCTGAGAGCTGGAACTGTCCTGCTGGGTCCTGCCGCATCACAGGCCCTGCTGTGGCCATGCAGAAGCCTGGCTGTCCCTGGAATATGTCCCATGTACAGGTGTCTCCAGGATGGATTTGGCACAGAACACCCTCCCCTCCCCTAAGGTAGATGTTCCTGTCCTCAGAACTCAGGCTCCTGGCCAGCCTGCTGTGGGAAGACAGCAGTCACCCCTTTCTCCCAGCCTTGGTTTCCACATGTGCAAAGGGGGATGGCCTGGACACCTCTGTCCCTCTGCTCTCCACCCTGCTCCCAGGTTTAGGTGTCTTTCCACTGTGGTCTGGGCACCTGTCCAGAGTAGGGCACATAAGGGCACAGATGGGGCCACCAGCAAGGGGTGGCCTCCTCAGGGAAAACAGGCTTCCTTTCTAGGGGCCCAATGTTCATCTCTCCGTGGCCACCAGGGGGCACACCAGCCCCTACTTGGAAGAGTTCATGGGGTGGAGGGATGGGGCATAGCCAGGGGCCATCTGCAGCCCTGTAGTGGCCAGAGGCAGGATGGAGGCTCTGCAGGAGGCCAGGGTCCCCAGTTACAGCCACAGGTGGCATTGATGGGGTGCTCGCTGCACTGGGGGGTAGGAGGAATCTGAGGTATGTAGGAATCTGAGTGGCCTAGTTAGGATAAGGAGCACCCCACCCAGCCACCTTGGGAGGTGGGACCTGGGTGTAGAGATGGGGCCTCACAGGTAGGGAGGGGAACAACAACTTACTCCAGACCAAGTCCTGAGTGTCTCAGTGGCAGTACTCCAGAGAGGGGTTCTTCTGTGGCCACGTGGTCATGACCAATGGCCTCACCAAATCACACTTCACCTCTTAAGACTGCCCAGCACCCCAGGACCCTCCACTGGAACTGATGCTGTCTTGTGGTGTTTGAGAGTGAAAGGGTGACCTGGGATTGGAAGCACCACTGGCCCCTCGCCCACCGGCAGCCACCCTCCACTGTCTGTTGGTGGAGGTGGGATGGGGTGAGGAGCTGGGCCACCACAGGGTCATTCCAGGCCAGACCTGTGCTGACCTGCCCCAAAGGGAGGTGCTGCTTGCTAGTGTGGGCAGGTTCCTCCTCACAGCCTCAAACCCTCGAAGTTGCCAGAACCTAGGCAGCGGGGCTGGGACCCTCCCTGCCTCTGGGCGACCTCACCTAGCCCATGTGCACCGAGTCACACTCCCCACCTCCAGTTCTGTGCTGGTTGGTCTAGCCATGGGGCTGCTGGCACCTGTGGATAGGTCGTCCCAGGTGGTGGGACTGGCTTTGGCTAAGGCTACGGGCACTCAGTTTCTGCAGAGCTTCTAGGCTGGGTTTGGGTCTGGGGCATCTTGAGTTGGCCCTCTGGAGGGTCTTGGACCACGGTCTCAAGGATGTGGCCTGGGACAGGGTGGGGGATCCCTTCTCCCCTGAACACTGTGTGTGTAGGGTTTCCAGGCACTATGCCCTGGGCCACTCAGACCTCACTTAGAAGCACCCTCCACCTGCAGGGCTGTGGGGGAGGTGCCAGGGAAGGACCCTGTCCCCTCCCAGGTGGGGCTGACGGTATCGTTTCACATGCTATTACACTGCCATACATGGGCATGATGAGGCCAAGATGGTAAGGCCCAGAGGCTCAGGGGACCTGAGTGGCCTGATCCCCTCACTGTCTCTTGTACTCCCAGAATAGCATAGACATAGACACTCTTAAAACATTTATTCCCATGCAGAGATTTAAGTAGAAAAATAAATGGAAACCAAACCAAATACAGAATCAGAAGGGAGCAGAATGACTTCTGTCTTCTCCCCTCACACTGCTGGGGGGCTGCCTTCTTTCACCCTGAGGGCTACCCCAAGTTACCAGCACTCAAGGACCCAGCCCCAGGCCTTTAGGGGGCCGAGGGTATCTTCACCCCCGTCATGCTCAGGTAGGGAAAGGAGTTAGAGTCCTTTCCTTGGGCTTCAAAGATTGGGGGCCAAGAGGAGGGCGAGCAGGCCCCAGGCCAGCCCCAGGCTGAGGATGGTGTGGGACAGCGGGGCGCGGGCGGGTGCAGCGCTGGTCTGCCTCTCATTGCACAGGTCACCCTGGCAGCACTGGATGGCAGTGCTGCTGCTGAGCTGGCCTTGCTGGGTTTGGATGGGCACACATTTTTCTGTGCATTCCTTCTTCACCAGGTTCCCGGACAGAGACTCCACTGAGCAGGGGGCAGTGCAGTCAGGCCTGGGGCCATCTCTTACCCACTCACACCACCCAGTTTGTGCCCACAGTGGTCCCTCGTATGGCCCCCGGCTGACATCCTCTGCCTCTATGCCACTATCACAACTGTGACCCAGCTGCCACCCACATCATCCCGTGCTGACCGCCACCCTGGGATGCGGCTCACCTGTGGTTATGGTCTTGCAGAAGTTCGAGCTGGGCGAGCACTCCTGTGGGTGCTTGCAGTCAGTGGAGCTGACGCACACATGACAGCGGAGGGCCCGGGCTGGCAGTGAGGGTGGCAGGGGCTCAGTAGGCCTTGCCCACTGCCCCCAAAGACCCCTCTTGAACAGAGCCCCTGCCACCCTGCCCTAGGCCCATCCGTCCTGAGCCAGGTCCTGCCAGGCTCCTACCTTGAATACAGGCTCAGATGTCAGTTCTGGCACTGCCACCTGAAGCCAGTCCTACCCTGGGCCCTGTCTGGAACCCTGAGGAAGCAAACAGTCTGGAACAGTCACACCCTTCCTCCAGGAACCTGGGGATCTGGGACATGGCTGCTGTCCCCTACCCCAGAGACTGTCCCTAGGGTGGACAGTGATGGTTCTGAGGGTCTGACTGAGCTGAGGCTCTTGGGGCTGTCTGCTTGACTGCTCTAACCCTGTAGGGACAAAGAAGGGGTTATCTCATAAGCTGTCCCGAGAGGGACCTGGGAATCAGGAGGGACTGGCAGTAGGGACTGGATAAGCCCTGGGGAAGGCATCTCAAGACAACCCCTGGCTCTGTTGCCCCTCGGGCATTTGTGACTCCATGGGCTCCTTCTAAGATTCTCAGATTCTGAAATACTGAAAATCTGATCCCATAAGTTAAGAAGTAGATTTGTTTTGTTTTTTGCAGTTTTTGTATAGGGCAGGGTTTGAACTCACCACCTCCAGCATATGGGACCAGCACCCTACTCCTTTGAGCCACAGGCACTGCCCTAGATTTGTTTTGTTTTAAATTCTGAGTCTAGCATTCTACATCAGGATTCCCTGAGTCTAAAAGCCTAGAACTCCAGGCTCCTAGTGCTGTGATTGCCAGTTGGCCTCAGCCCAGCTGACACTAGGGTCTGGCACACAGGCCAGAGCACCCTCCACCCACACCCAGTCTCCTTGCCTAGCCCCTTACCTGGCCCCACGGCCACAGCCAGGGCAGCAAAGAGCAGCAAGATGGCCTTCATCTCTGGCACTGTAGGGAGTAGTGGGGGGTCCTTCTCTCTGGAAGCCTTATAGCTGGGATGTGCCAGGGGTGGGGACTGGGCAGCCAGCCAGCAAGTGGCAGTCCTCCAAGACCTGCACAGACATCAGCCTGGTATAGGGACCAGCCCCACCCTGCCTGGGCCATACCTACCAGCCCAGTTCTTGCCTGGACCCTCCCCCAGGCAGGGGTGTGCCCATTGCCAAGCTGGTGAGTGGAAGAGACAGAGACTCTCTGTGTCCACCCTTCTAGGTCCCAGCTCTGAAGCTTGCTGTGTCTCTGTCTCTCCCTGCCTGTGTCTGTGTGTCTCCGTTCTCTCACTGTCCATCCATTCCTGGGTCACTTTGCTCTGACCTGCTGCCCATTCTGTCTCCATCTTTGCATCTTCGTCTCTGCACCCCCACCCTTGGATAATCTCTTCTACAGGGTCACTGCCTGTGTTAGGTACCCTGTGAGTGCCCAGGGTATGCCCAGGGGCTGGGAGGGAGCAGGAGGAGTGCTCACCTGCCTTCCTGGGCTCTGGGCTCAGAGTTGCTGGGTCCTCCAAGAGGAACTCTGGAACAAGGAACCCCACGGAGCAGAGGTCCCTGCTAAGGTGGGAGGACTTGGGATGGTCTTATAACTGACGAGAGTGGGGATTATAGATAAACACCAGCACACTGAGTCCAAATTAAGCAAGGCTTCTTTATTGACCGGCCATCAAAAGTGGTCTCACACCACAAAGTCTCTTGATCCCGCTTCAGAGGGGGTGTAAGGTTTATATATGGCGCTTGAGGCACTGGATGGGAAGCCCTAGAGTAAGCAGAATTGTACAGAAGCCAACATCTGCAAGGTTAGATCTACAGGGTAAAAGGGGGGTGCTACAAGGGGAACTGGGGGATGTGCATAGACAGACTAGTGACAGGATTGTGGTTTGACAAGATTGTGCAGCTGTCAGGGGGTTTTGCAGCTCTCAGCTAAACTTCTGTTTTTGCAAGGCTACTGCTTGCTTGAGGGGCTACTGTGGTTACCAAGAAGGGGGGACTATAAACTCTTAACAAGATGGAGTGGCTTGTGTGCTCAGAACAGATGGAGTTAGGGCACTACAGTCTGGGCTACTGGGGTGTGAGTGGTAGAGGGAGAGGTGCCAGGGCAGAGGTGAGTCGTGGGCCAGGTGAGGGGCATGAGGACCTCTAGCAGGACTGTCATAGGTGCTTGGGACCTCGGGGGGCAGGGGACCATGGCTGGGACTCAACCCCTCATAGTACTGGGAGAAACTGAGGAATTCATGTCTCTCCACTGGCCCCCAACCCTGCCACCACCCTCCAGGGGCCCAGAATTCCTCCCTCCCTCTGCCCCTAACCCTGGAGGAGCAGTGTCACCCTTCTGCCTTCTATCTCTTGCCCTACACATCTCTGCCCTGGTCACCCCAACACTATGAGCTACTCTGGGCTGTGCCCAGAGCCCAGGGCCCAGTGCAGAGTGCAGGGTCTGGTGCCACTGTATGGGAGGCATATCCCACCCTCTCTACACTCACAGCAGGTCTCTGAGACCCACTTGGAGTAGGGTGCAGCCCTCTCCCCCTACTTTCACCCTCTCTGTACTCACAGCAGGTCTCTGAGACCCCCACCTAGAGCAGGGTACAGCCCTCTCTCTGATGGTTTTCCAGTCTACCTGCTTGTCCAAGCCTGCAGCCCCTTGCTGGGTGCTATGAGTGGGGCCCACAGAGATGGGCCAGGCTACTATGAGCAGGTCAGAGACACAGATGGAGATCAGCCCTGGGCTGGCCTGCCAGCCATCCCTGCCCACGATGACCTATGGACACACACCAAGAGTCTGGGCTGGAGACCTTGGCCAGTCCTCCTGGCATGCTGTGGGTGAGCCGGCTCCTGTGCTGGGCCTCACCTCTGCCTTGCCAGATGGGGTAAAATTACTACCACAGGTGCCAGGGGAGCCAGGAGAGTCAGTACCTAAGAGGCACCATGCGTCTCTCCACTAAGACATCCCCAAAGGCAGACAGGTCACAAGGCATTGCCTCTGGAAACCCAGGAGGGTCCAGGTAGAAGCCCCCCTGACAAGGCCCTACATTTGTGTACAGTGCCTGGTGGCCACTTGTCCTGCTGGCTGATCTCAGGCTCACTGGGGCTTGTTCAGGGCAGCTAGCATTTCACTGACAAGGCAGGTGATGTAGGAGTCCACTTCCTCCCTACTAGTGAGGGAAATGGGGGAGGGAGAGAGGCCAGCTCCAAGGCTTCCCTGCATGATATGGGACCCAGCTTGAGGCCTGGGTGGGTTGGGGGAAGATGCATCAGAGGCCTTGGGAAACAGAGCTCAGGGCTTGGTGACAGGGTGGTGACTCGATGGGTATGGCAACTGGGGAGGGTTGACTCACTGGGGCCAGGGGGCATGGAGGCTGCTAGAAAAACAGGTTTGGAACTCCCGTTGGATTTGGTGGGGCTGGAGGGCCTGGGAAGCCAGCTGGGCTGGGTAGAGGTCTGGGTGTGGGGCTGTGGGGCAGTGGTTCCCCTATACCTCTGCTGAAGAAGGCCTTGAGGGGCCCCTAAGGCTCCACTGTGGTTGTGTTCCTAGGAGCCTGCTGGGCATGGAAGGTGAGGCCGAAGCTGGGCCCCGGCAGGACTGTCTTCAAGGGTCTAAGCTGCCCAACACTGGCATTCTCCTAAAAGAAGTGTGAACAATAGTTCCAGACATGGGAAAGTGGGTGGTTCTGATGCCAGGAGCTCTGGGAGAGCTGGGAACTTGTGGGATGTTCTGGCTAGGACCTTGGAGGCAGTTCAGGTTGGAGTGCAGAGAGAAGCCTTCATAACCCCCTATGTCAGCCCCTTGCCAACTTCCTTTTATTGATGAGGATAGGAGGGTCAGAGAGGTCTGGGCAGGCACCAGGACACCCCAGAAGTGAGGTGGAACCTGGCAGGGTCTCAGGTACATTTTCCTATCACTTCCACCTCCTTCCAAAGCCTGGCCCTTGTCATCCAGCCTCTCGGGCTGGAAGGGGGCCTGCATCTGATTTGTGCCATCAGGGAGTTGGGAACAGGAGAGGCAAGGAAGAGGGATGGGGCAGGGATGCCACCCCACCCCTGGTCCTGTCTGCTCCCTGAACTCGGCTGGCCAGGAAGCTGGTTTGGAACACATCTGGATCTCTGTTTGAAGCAGAGGTTCCCTGCTCATGCCTCCCTTGCACCTGCCTGCCCTCTCCCCTTCCCCCTCTCCTCCCACCTGTGCCCCTGGCATCACACAGGGGTGTGAGGGCCCAGAGAGGGTAGTATGTGGCTCAGGGCTGCACAGCACAATATGCCAGCTTTCTGACAGTGCAGCCTTGGCCCCTGCCTTGACCTGGGGTGGACACTAAGTGGACATGTTGGGTTGGAGGTGCTAGCAAGCCCTGGGGAATGGGGAGGGGGTTTCTTCATCCTCAGATTGACCTACGGCAAATGCACAGTCCAAGCCACAGTCCAGGGGCTCTAAAATGCTTCATTTGTTCCTGCATTCATCAACATCTTATAAGGATCTGCCATCTACCAGGCACTGTGGGTATAACAGAGGCCAAGAGAAGGGAGAGGCAGGGCCCAGCCCTGGGGCCCCAGACTATGTGGGCAGGGGAGACAGACAGTCAGTTGCTCTGCAGTGCATTGGGTAAGAATGTGACCATGGGGATGCCAAGGGGCCTGGGGTTGGGCAGAGTCATCTAAGCTGAGACCTGAAGGGTAGGTGGCCAGGTGGGGGTGTCAGGGCCTGGGCACCAGGCCCTGTGAGGCATAGGGCATCGTACCCCTTTTCTGCCTCTTTTCCCAGCAGGGGCCAGGTAAATGCTGTGATTCAGGCTGAGTGATGCAGTGTCTCTTTCAGGCCTACTCTGTTCCTCTCTGTCACACACCTGCATAGCTGGGGCCTCGGAAGGCACAGAGAGGGGCTGGCCTTGTCAAGTATCACCCAGGAGTGGAAGCCACAACTGTCTATTGCCCTACACATCTGGGCCCTTCCCCTACATCCAGGCCTCCCCACTTCTCCCCCACCTGCCTGCACAGAATCACCTTTACACATAGAGCCACAATGCCAGACATAAGTCTCTCTCACCTGCTTCTCAGGGACCTGTACCTTTCCTAGATCAGCCCCTGGGGCCCTGACCACCTACAACTCCTCCCCTATAGCTGGGCCTGGATGATGGGTGCAGTTAGCTCTAAGGGCTGGGCCAGGGGCTCAGGACTGGCCTGCCCCTCTGCGAGGCCCACACTCCTGTCAGGCCCCTCCTTCTTGCCCTGTGTGGACAAAGCAGAGCTTGAGCAATGCGTTTCTGCCTTGGGGGTACAGCCTATTCCTGGGAAGGAATGGACTGGAGTCCTGGATTCCATCCAAAGATCCAAGAGAAACAAGTCAATTCTCAGGCCTGTCTGGTGGTGCCACAGGTTGAGGCTGGCACCTTCTCTGGGACTAGCGTGAGGACACCCCTCCACAGAACACCCAGGTGGGCCCTGATTATCCGACATCTGCTGCATCCCTTTGAGGCACTGGCATTGGGGGGTTTGGGCAAGGTGCCCAGAGGCAGAGTCTGGGAGATGAAGGAGAAGCCCTCAGGGTGTGAACTGTGTCCTCCATGAAGTGGGGGAAGGCCTGCAAAGGGGTGTTGCCACAAGGCCAGGGAACCACAGATTGATGGGGATCTCAGAGTCGCAGGACTGCAAGCTCTTAGCAGTGTGGACACGCAGAACTCAGAACCTTGGAATTGCAGAACTTAAAGTACCTGAGTGAGAATCAGGTGCACTGGAGGTGGTTTATTCTGGAATTCCTGTTTCCTCTTGTCAGAGACAGATGCCTGTGAACAGGAAAGGGAAGAGGGGGAGAAGACGGAGAGAGACAGCATTGTAACTACCCCCTAGAAGACTTGGAGAGGGTCTGAGGGCAGTTAGGACAAGCACGTTAGGACAAGCCTCCACTAGGGTTCTAGGGAAGTACGAGGGTTTGTGCTTGTGCTCAACTCCTGGGGTCTTC